TTGTACTTTTCCTGTTGACCCAAGCTTATGTATATATGTATGTTATGTATAAGGAAAGAAAAATTAACTGCCTACCTGATGGGAAGGAGGCTAGAGGGAAATTGTCACTTGTGGCTATATCTGCCTTTAATAAATGGGCCTTAAAATTTTTTTCCTTGACAGTAAGGTTTCACTGTGTTGCCCTCCCACTTCAGTCTCTGGAGTGGCTTGGACTGCAGGTAGACCAACTCCACATGGCTTAGATTTCCTTAGATTGTGTTCTTTTCCAATTCCTTACCATTTAGGAAGTTACTTTTTTCTTTCTTTTTGTTTAATGAATTTAAGGCTGGGGTAGTTAGGCCTCACCATCACATTGAAGTCTTACGCACCATTTTGTTCTTGTTGCGGAGCTAGGGATTGAGCCTGTAGGTTTGGTATGCACTCCATCCCCAGCCTCAGAAAGTTGAAAATGTAATCATTGATGTGCCCGGATAAATTTGTTTACTTCTTAAAATTACTAGTCAGTATGGCATTGTTACTTTCTTCCCTTCCCCTTCCCCTTGTCCTTTCCCCTTCCCCTTCCCCTTCCCCTTCCCCCCCTCCTTTTTCCTTTCCTTTCCTTTCCTTTCCTTTCCTTTCCTTTCCTTTCCTTTCCTTTCCTTTCCTTTCCTTTCCTTTCCTTTCCTTTCCTTTCCTTTCCTTTCCTTTCCTTTCCTTTCCTTCCTGTCCTGTCCTGTCCTGTCCTGTCCTGTCCTGTCCTGTCCTGTCCTGTCCTGTCCTGTCCTGTCCTGTCCTGTCCTGTCCTTTCACCTTGAGCCACTTCATCAGCTCTTTTTTGTGATGGGCTTTTTCAAGATAGGGTTTCTCCAGCTATTTTTCTGGGTTAGCTTTGAACCTCGACCTCTTGATCTCTGCCTCCTGAGTAGCTAGGATTACAGGCGTGAGCCACCAGTACCTGTCCCATTAGTACTTCTTTAATGCAAATTAGATTGGAATCTAAGTCCAAAAAGTGGACTGTTTTTGGCTTTTTACATGCCTGTAATCTTAGCCCTTTGGAGGCAGTGGGCAGTAGACAGGGTCTTCCTGTGCAGCCCTGACTGGCCTCAAATTCACAATACCTTAGTCTCCTAGTGCTGGGATTATAGGTGTGCACCACCCCGCCTGGTCATAGTATATTTATTGTACTATACTACAGGTGTTCATTGCAGTTTAGATTAACATTTCAAACTTGGATCTAAACTTATGAACTCAAATTTGGATCGTTCTGTTGTTTCATAATTTATTTTTAAAAACTGTTCCTCTTTTTAGTTATCTGGTCAGCAGATGATTCAGACAGTAAAATTCTACATTTTGTTTCAGAATTGGTGCCATATCATCTGGGGGATCACATTTCTGTTACTGTTTTGTATTTTATTTTATTTTGGAACAGGGTCGCCTGGAACTTGCCATCCTGCTGCCTTAGCCTCCCACTACACTTTATTATAAACTGTTATCACCGTCAACAGATCATTTTCTCTCCACATTTTTGTTGTTTTGTTTTGAGATCAGGTCTTATGTAGTCCATGCTGGCCTGATCTCTTTTCTTCTTTCTTTTCTTTAACCGGTACTGGAGTTTGAACTTAGGGCTTTGTGCTGGCTAGGCAGTCACTCTCCTACTTGAGTCATACCCCTAGCTCATGGCCTTGGAACTCTTGATCCTTCTGCCTTATCCTTCTGACTGTTGGCATTACAGATCTGTGCCACTACACTTGATTTTCTCCATTTTTATAATAAAGTTTATATGAAATTTTTTATTGTCTCATTATTTCAGTAGCCAGAAATTCTGCTTTTATCCACGTTTGTTACTTCTTTTTTTACTCACTGTTGCTAAGGAATTTTGCCATACATAATATTGGTGGTGTCGTAGTTAAAGTATTTACCTTAGTAGTTACTTTATGACTTATTGAAATTTCTTAAATAAGCACATAATACATCCTATGTTGTAGCTATCTGGTGACCTTATGAATAATCTGGTAGCATCTGGAGTATTTATACTTATATAACAAACATTTTTTCTTTTGTGTTAAACCTAGCAGTGCCTCACACCTGTACTTGGGAGGCTGAGATAGGGAGGATCAAAGTTTGAGGCCAGCCTAGGCAAATAGTTTGCAAGGCCCCATCTCTAGAATAACCAGAGCAAAATGGACTGGAGGCGTGGTTTAAGCAGTAGAGTGCCTGCTTCTCAAGCTCACTCAAGCTCATAGCCCTGAGTTCCAAAACTGGTCCCACCAAAACACCTAATTTTGTTAATGTGAATTTCAGTGATAATATCTTGTGCTATTCAAGATACTGTTTACTTGGTATTAGTAACATTGTTTGTGCTTGATAACCTAAAAAAGTTTTTCTTTTTATACATGGAAAAATTGAAGCCTGATCAGTTACCTGGCAGTGATAGCTTGTTCTATCTCAGGCTTTGCTTTTTTTTTTTCCCCGCCTTTTTTGGTGTTTTTAAGATGGTCTGACCTTGAGCCCCAAATCTTCCTTCTTCAATTTTTGGTTTTGTTTTGTTTTTTTAAAAATAAAGTTAGGTTGTTTGAGGTTTGGCGATACTGGGATTTGAATTCAGGTCCTCAAGCTTGCTGTGCACCAGCTCTAAGGCTTTCTGATTTGTTTCTTTTGATGCCCGGAATTGAAATAGGACCCCACAATCAAAGCTTCAAAGCCCTTATCTCGAGGCTTTTATTCCTATCAGTTTGTTTTATTTGTTGGGCCTAGTATGTGTGAGGCTCAGGGTTAGATCCCTAGCACCAGAAAACAAAAAAGCAGTTGGTTTTATTTGTAGCTTAACTCCCTCTTTTTCACTCTTACTGACGTTCAAGCTAAAAGAAATAAAAGTTCTGACAATATTGGCGCTCTGGTGGTTCACACCTGTAATCCTCACTCCTTGGAATGCTGAGATCAGGAGGATTGTGGTTTGAGGCCAGCCAGACAAATAGCTCACAAGACCCTATCTTCAAAATAACCAGAGCAAAATGGACTGGAAGTGTAGCTCAAGGGGGCAGAGTGCCTGGTATGCAATGGTGAAACCCTGAGTTCAGATCCCAATTCCTCCCCTCCACACACACAAAGTAAGTTCTGGCAATAATCTCATGAGGTTTTCGGCTTTTGCCTTCATATGAGACCGAAGTAAATGCTGTGTGTAAGTTCTTAGTTTTCTTGAATAGCTTTAGTTTCCTATAAGAATGTATAGTATATTTAATTTTGAGGAAAGCAGTAACAAATTTTTTCTCAACTTAGGCTTGGACTCATTTGTCTGGATATTTTAGTGATTGTCCTGAGTTTGAAATTTGTAGTTAGAGCAAATGACAGAAACTACCATAGGTCATTTCCTCTGGTTAGTGTGCTTAACATGGATTAACCACCAGAGTTACTGGCTTGCAACATTAGTCTTACCAGGGAGGAAAGTATGAAGCAATATTTTACAAAGGCCTCAGCATTCATATATAACTTTCTATTAATCTGTTTGAAAATGCTGTGAATGCACTGAAGACTATGGCAATCTTTATATCTAGTACTTAAGAATTTTGTGTTTCTCATGCATCATAGGCATATTAAATTTAATAAAATATCTCTCTCAATCTGACTGTAGATGTCTTCATGTTCTTCAGTCCACTGTCATCCTTTTTGAGGATTTTACTAAACTGAGGAGAGCAATCAATTTCATTAATTTTTCTCATATTTGCCACTGAGAAGAGAGCCTAAACTAAGAAGACTCAAGTAAATTATGTATTTCTTCATTAGTCCTTCAAAAATTTTTAAACAAAATTACCTAGAAAATTATTTTCGGTATTTTATTTCCTATACATTAGCAGGAAATAACGGTACTGCTACTGATGATCATATAGGATGAGCACCCCTAACTTGAAAATCCAACATTGGAAATGTTCCAAAGTCTGAAACATGACACTACAAGTGGAAAATTGCATGCCGTGAAACTTTCATATGTAAAATTATAAAAAATATATTGTATGCATCTACATTCAGGCTATGTACATGAGATATATATGAAACATAATTGAATTTTGTGTTTAGATTGAGTCCTATACCTAAGATAACCTCATCATATATGTGCAAGTGTTCCACTGTTTGAAATCCAAAGTGTTTCTAGCTCCGGGTGTTTCAGATGGAAGAGACCCAGCTAGTAGAGCAGTGCTGTTAAGGTATTGAGCGCCTGATGTAGTCCAAGCCCTACCTGTGGGTTATTTCATTTAATTCTTAGTAAGTACTATTTTCACTATTTCCATTTTGCAACTGAGACTTAGCAAAAGGTTAAGCGATTTGTCCAAGGACGTATCACTCATATCATTCTTGGCTCATATATATCTGAGGTCTCTGGATCTAAACCCATTACACCCATTGTTCTGTTATTATTCTCCTAAGTGAATGTATTTACTAGTCTGTTGTCCCACCCCTCCTCGCTCCCTCCCTCCCTTTTTTTTGAGACAGGGTCTTGCCATGTAGCTGGCCTGGAGCTAACTATGTAGCCCAGGTTGGCCTTGAATGTGCTATTCTTCTGCCTAATCCTCCCAAGTACTGGGATTACAGTTGTGAGCCACCATGCCTGGCTCTCACTTTTTTTTTTCTTTTAAGAAAAAATGTTCAGATTACTCATAGCTTGCAATACTGCCTGTGTTACTTTTGCTTGGCATTCTCAGGGCAGTGTTTACTGTTTTCTACTGCTTCTGAAGATTGAGTGTAGCCGGGTGCTTGTGGCTCATGCCTGTAATCCTAGCTACTTGGGGTAGAGATCAGGAGGAACTAAATTTAAAGCCAGCCCTGGGTGAATAGTTCTCAAGAATCTCTAAAACACCCAACACAATAAAAGGGCTGGTGGAGTGGCTTAAATGGTAGAGTGCCTGCTCTAGCAAATGTGAGGCTCCAGTACCAGAAAAAAGAAAAGAAAAGAGAATGTGACAGATGGGGAGAATATGGGGTTTCTAGAAATTCCAGACTTAATTTCTTTTCGTTTGTTCCCTGTATAGCAGTGATTCCAGCAGTAGTTCAAGTGATGACTCTCCAGCCCGATCTGTTCAGTCTGCAGCAGTCCCAGCACCTACTTCTCAGTTGCTTTCATCTCTTGAAAAAGATGAGCCCCGTAAAAGTTTTGGGATCAAAGTTCAGAACCTTCCAGTACGCTCTACAGGTAAAATTTTATAGAACTGCACTTTCCTTTCAGGTACTATTGAGGAGTGAGATAGACTAGTCAGCTTGAATTTTCTACACTGTAGTGAAAACACATTTTCATTTTGTGGGTCATCAACATCTAATGTCCTGTAAGAAGAAGCAGGTGTCTGGAGGCATGGCTCAAGTGCCTGCTTCACAAGTTTGAAGTCCTGAGTTCAAACGCAATAAAGGATAAAGCAAGTGATTATTATAACTTTGTGTAGTTTAATTTCTACTTTGTTGCCCTTATACACAAACAAAGATTGTTATATTTTAGGTAAACATAATACATACACATACATATTTACATATACTTACATATTATATGCATAGGTATTTGTACATACAAAGGTTGTCTGTTAGGCATATAAAGAAAGCATGGTTTGTTTTTGGATAAATATTTTTCTGGATTAAATATTTTGGTATTGGGAAATTTGATATAATGAAATTTTACAAATGCTGTTATTATGTATTAGTACTATTAATATGTTGGTTTGAAGTCTTGTGTTATCCAAAATAACTTTGGGTATAAAATTAGGGCAAGAAACCCCTTTCAAAATATTAATATTAATATTTTGGGCTAGAGCATGGTGCAAGTGGTAGAGCCCTGTCTAGCAAGCCCAAGGCCCAGAGTTCAAGCCCCAATACTGCCAAAAAGTAAAACTAAATAAATCAAATAAAATATTAACATTTTTAAAAGAAGAAAGCCGTGAATAGTGGAAAAGCCTAATCACGAAGCTGTTCTGTAGTCTTTCCTCCTGTTACCCCAAATCAAACCCAGATTTTAAAAAATTTTATCTTTTATTTATTTATTTGAGAGTCTCCTATGCAGTTCAGGCTGGCCTGAAGCCAGCCTTAAGCTTATGATCCTCCTGCCTCTGACTCCTGAGTGCTGGGATAGCAGGTGTGAACTACCACACCCAGCCACACCAGATTGTTTTGTTTTTTGTTTTGCTTGCTGGAAATCAAACCCAGGGCCTTGGATGTGCTAGGTAAGTGCACTAGCACTCCTGATATTTTTAATTGACAGTTGACCATACTATACTGTTGTTTCCATTAAGTATATTGACCATGTAAACAAGTTTAAACTGTTAGTACACAGGTCATAGGAAATAAGTGTGTTATATTTGAACTACTAATTTTGACATTGAGTTTCTGATGACCTGATGGGGTTATAATAATTTGTTGTTGTTGATTTTTGGTCCTTGGAATTGAACCCAGGGCCTCTGCATGCTAAGCATGTGCTGTACCACTGAGCTACATCCCCAATCATAGAGTATTTGAGAGCCCACAGAATTTGTCATTGAGATGTGACACCTGGAAAAGTAGAAATACGGCTTTCCTTCCTAAGTCGTCACAATGTTTATTTATTATGAAAGTATTAAACGTATCTAAAAGTAGAAAGAATATTAAAACAAACTCCTATTATCCCATACACCATATTAAAAATCATTGCCTTTTGTGGAGACAGGGCTTGACTATGTTAGCCTAGGTTGCCTTTATACTCTCCATCCTTCTGCCTCAAGTGCTGAATTACAGGTGTGTGCCAGCACACCTGGATGACATTTTCCCAATTTTGATTTATCTGTTCCTATCTTTCTCCTTTCCTGTGTGGTTTTAATTTTTTCTTCAGTGAATCCTTGACGTTACACCGTTTTATATGAACTTAGAGGAAAATACTTTGGGCATTTTCCCAAACGACCAAATCCATTCTTACCCAAGATCATCAATATCATCATCTTAACACCCAGTTTATTTTTGGAATTGTACAGTAATCTTTCTTTTTTCTTTCTTTTTGGCAGTACTGGGGCTTGAACTCAGGACCTCAAGCTTGCCAGGCTTGCTAGGCAGGCGCTCTATCACTTGAGTCACTCCACCAGCCCTCCTTTTTCCTTTTATTCTTTTTCTGTTTTCTTTTTGAAAAAGGGTCTGCTTAATATAGCTCAGGCTGGCCTGACCCTAACATCCTCTGCTTCCACCAAGTGCTGGGAGTATAGATATTTGCCACCACTCCTGGCCAGAACTATTCTTTTTCTTTTTTTGGGGTGATACTGAGGTTTGAACGCAGGGCCTCATACTTGCTGGGCAGGTGCTGTACCATGTGAGCCACCTTGCCAGCTCCAGAAGTACTCTCTTAAATACCTTTTTAAAGTTATTTATTTGAAGAAGTAATGTTTCAGCCAGGCAAGGTGGCTCATGCCTATATGCCCAGCTGTTATGGGAGGTAGCAATCGAGAAGATCGAGGTACAAGGCCAACCTAGGCAAAAAGTTAGCCAGACCCCAACTCAGGAAACAGGTCCAGTGTGGAGGTGCGTAGGCCAGAGTAGGAGGATCTTGGTCTGAGACTGGCCTGGGCAAAAACTCAAGAACACTGTTCAAAAAAAAAAAAAAGCTACAACTGGGGACTTAGCTGAAGTGGTAGAGTACTTGCTTAGGACTTTGAGTTTAAAACCCAATACTGGGGGGGAAAAAAAAAGGTAATGTTTTGATGTTACCAGAACTTGGGTAAGAAGTTAGACAAGAGGTTTCATAACATGCTTATTGAACTGCATTTGCACTAGAAATTAATTTGTTTCTTTTGGAAATTTAGATACAAGCCTTAAAGATGGTCTTTTCCATGAATTTAAGAAATTTGGCAAGGTGACTTCAGTACAGATACATGGAGCTTCAGAAGAGAGGTACGGGTTGGTGTTCTTTCGGCAGCAAGAGGACCAAGAAAAAGCATTGACTGCATCGAAAGGGAAACTTTTCTTTGGCATGCAGATTGAAGTGACAGCATGGATAGGGCCGGGTAAGAGACAAGGAAGCCTGGTTTAATCACAAATGACATTTGCTGTTTGTTATCCAGTTCATGAGTGTGTAGTATCAATATGCTGGATGTGAACACTCTTTTGTGTTTGTTTAGACTTTCAGCATCATTGCTTTTAAAGCATGGTTATGTTTATTGTTCACCTTACAAACATTGTGTAATGGAGAGTCCAAAGGGCAGCCTTCCCAAAAAGATTGAATTGATTGAGATTAGGAGAATGACAGCAGAATATACACTACTTATAAAATAGACCATGTGCTAATACATTTGAGGAACTCAGCAGATAGTTTTATTTCCATTTTGCCCAGCACAGCACAAATTGAATCTGTTAACCTCAGTGACATGGCCTTGAAATACAGTGACTAAGGACTGGGACTACTTCTTACGGGGAGACCCACTGAGAATTTAAAGCGATCATTTTTATTAACTTGAGGCTGTAAGACCTATTGACTGTAAGGCAGGAAGGCTCATACATTGCTTGGGTCAGTGTTTCTCCTGTTCCAGAAAACCTGTAGTGTTTGTTTAAAAATGGAGTCTTTAACCCAACCCCAGCTAACTGCTTCAGAATTCAAACAGTCAAGTTTGGGAATCTCTGATTTAAAGTGACATGTGAAACTCAGGAGCAGGTGGCTCATGCCTGTAATCCTAGCTACTTGGGAGGCTGAGATTGGGAGGATTGTGGTTCAAGGCCAGCCTGGACAAATAGTTCTCCAGACTCTATCTCCAAAATAACCAGAGAAAAATGAACTGGAGGTGTGGCTCAAGAGGTAGAGCGCCTGCTTTGCAAGTGTGAAGCCCTGAGTTCAAACCCTAGTCTCATCAAAAAATAAAGTGACATGTGAGTAAGTTAATAGAAACCTTAAAATTCTAGTCATCTTTTAAATTTGAGATAAACTTTAAGACTTTGCATGGAATTTATGGTCCGTTTACAGGGTAAATACTGGGATATTCATTTTATTTGATAATTAAAAGGAAAACATAACTTCCTTGATAAGAATATGTAAATCTTACTTACAATTAAAATCGGGCACAGAATTTGTGGTGTAAATGTTGTAAAACATGCATAATTTTATGATGGAATGCAGGAATTCAAAGGATGCCTTTGCATTCCTTTCCTTACTGACTTTGAGATGCACTGCCCTAATTATACTGGGCTAAGAGTAGCTCAGGAGTTCTTATTAGAACATTGGAACAGGTCAAAACTACTTGAAAAATGTTTAGTGTGTCATATAATATATTTAAAATCAATCATAATAAGCAATGAGGATCTAGTCTAGGGGCATTCAGTGACTCTGATCTTCAAGTTGTAGGGCTAGCTTGAGATTTTAGCTATAACATTTTTTTACCTAACTCTTTAGCACTCAGGAAACAGTTCAGTTTTAATTTAACCACATGGCACTGAAGATTTTAAGAAGTTTGGTTCAAGCATACGAAAGGACTGGAGGTGAGGTGTGGTGCAAGCTGTAGAGCACCTGCTTTGCAAGTGCAAATTTCTGCGTTCAAACCCTAGTCCCAACAAAAAAAAAAAAAAAAAAAAAAGGAAAACCAGAGGTACTTTTCCCAGTGAGACAACATTAAATACTGGCTTAATGATTCAGTATTTAAAATTAAAAATATAAATGCTTTTATTTAAATATATCCATTGTACTTAATACGTATCTATATTATCTGGAAGCAGACGAATCTGAGTATGAAGAGTAGGTTATAATTATGCCATCATAATGTTAGTCATAAATGGATTGAACTAATTGCTTAGGTCAAGGACCTTTTTACAAACATCCAAATCCAAGGTACCTGTTTTGCTTCTGAGCGTGTACTTTTTTATTCTTGTACATAGCATTAGGATCTCCTAAACATGAAACTGGAAGAACAAGTTTTTTCTGAAGATGTATAGGTATTAAGATTTAAGCCTGTCCTGAAAGTTGAGTAGACTACATATGAGAAGCATGTTTTTCTTTATTCAACTAGTGTTCCAGTTTTGAAAATTTACATGCTATTTGGTGAAAAAGAAGCCATTGCAGATTTTAATAGTTGCACATCATGCTTTACCTTTCTGAGTCTTCCTCTGTCTTCTTCTGTTTCCCTCTCCAATGTCCACCTTACATTGGTTGGATAGTTTCAGGAAGACTGAATTGAGTTGAAAATGATATATGCCCCTGGGATATGCTGGAAATACAGAGAACAAGTATTATTACTTCCTGGACAATTTCTGGGTCTACCTGACCCTGCGAAAGTGCATACTCTTTGATGAAACTGGTAAGATTAAACCGAGCTATCAGAGTCATCAACTGGAGCTAGGAATCAGAGTGAATTTCAGTCATCTGAGGGTGTTTTTCTGGCAGCACTGGATTTGAACTCAGGGCCTCATGCTTGCTAGTCAGGTGCTCTTACCACTTGAGCCACTCCACCAGCCTTTTTTTGTGATGGTTTTTTTTTTTTTTTGAGAACTATTTTCCCTGGCTAGCTTTGAACTGGATCCTCTTGATATCTGCCTCCGAAGAAGCTAGGATTATAGATTTGAGCTACCAGTGCCCGGCTGTTTTTCTTTAAATAATGCCAGCATTGTCATTGATATCATCACTAAGTGACTTTATACTAAAGTGACTCATTATCATTAAGTGACTGATACTAAAGACTTTGATTCAAGCCAGGCACCAGTGGCTCATGCCTGTAATCCTAGCTGTTTGAGAGTCTGATAGTGGGTGGATTTAGGTTTGAGGCCAGCCCTGACAAATAGTTCAAGAGATCCTATCTCCAAAATAACGAGCAAAATGAACTGAAGTTTTGATGTAAGCAGTACAGTGCATGCTTTGCAAGTGTGAAGCCCCTGAGTTCAAATCCCACACACAAAAAGACTGTTTGAGCCAAGTTGATTTTTGTATGGATGTGTGTATTTATAAAGTGTCTAGGCTGGCCTTGAACTCAGTTCTGTATCTGTCTTCAGCGTGCTAGCATTATAGGTGTGTGCCACTATGGCCACATTGTGTTTTTGATAACTTTTTTTTTTTTTTACATTAAAAAGGTAGAGAACATGCAATACTGAACTATAATTATCAACAAGACCTTGAATGTTCCTTCCCTAGATCAGGTTAATAAATAGAACATCATCAAAGGGGTGTGAATGAGTTAGAAATTAATCCAGGGCTTTTGATCATAAAAAATAGAAACCTCAAGGAAAATTTAGTCAGCTTTTTTCTATTTATCATTGGAGACCATACACCGCCAAAGAAGATACTTTGTAAATGTTGATTCAATCAGTTTGCCTGCAGTCCCATTCCGCCCCCCCCCAACCCCCCCCCCGCCCCGCCTTTTTTGTTTGTTTTTTTTGAGATGATATTTCAGCCTAGGCTGGACTGAAATTCTTAATCCTCCTGCCTCAGACTCCCAAGTGCTGGGTTACAGGCATGGACCACCACAGCTAGCTTTGTATAGTTCTCCTGTATTTAGATTGGTATGATATTATACTATTAATGTGGCAAATAGGAAATGCTAAATATAATAACATTGGTAAGTAGAATTAAATAATGAAGATGGATTTTTTTGTGTGTGTGGAACCAGGGCTTGAACTAAAGGCTTTGCAGTTGGTAGTCATGTCCTCTAACACTTAATCCTTGCACTCAACCCTTTTGACTTTCATTATTTCTCTCTCTTTCTCTCTCTTTTTTTGGTAGGGCTGGGATTTGGATTTAGGGCTTCACACTTGAAAAGCAGGCGCTCTGCTGCTTGAGCCACGCCTTCGTTTGCTTTCATTATTTTTTGAATAGGATCTCCAGTTAATGCCTTGGGTCAGGCTGAACCAAGATCCTCCTATTTACACTTCCTGAATAGCTGGGATGACACTACAACCTGATTTTTATTGATTGAGATGGGGTCTCGGTAACTTTTCTTGCCTGGGCTGGCCTCAATCTTGGTCTTCCTGATGTCTGCCTCCTGAATATCTGGGATTATAGGTGTGAAACACCATGCCTGGCTTCACTTAGAATTTTTGCTGGAGTTTAAAGTCTATGTCTGTGTCAGTGGTTATTTTTAAAAGAAATCTACTTAAAGAGTGGGGGTTCAAGTGGAAGAACGCTGGCCTTGCAAGCACAAGACTCGGTTTCCCTCCCCCAGACAAAAACACATAAATTTAGGGGATTGAAATTTCATCCAATTTCAAGTCTGTTTTCTTCTTCTCTTTTAATGATAGGACTGGGGTTTGAACTCAAGGCTTTGTGCTTGCAGAGCAGGTGCTCAGCTGCTTGAACCACACCTCCAGTCCATTTTGCTCTTGTTATTTTGGCTGTAGGGTCTCAGAATCTATTTCCATGGGCTAGCCTCATACCTGGATCCTTCTAATCTCAGCCTCCTAAATAGCTCAGATTATAGGCTAAGTAGCTCAGATTATAGGCATGAGCCACCAGCACCCAGCTCAAGTCCATTTTCTATGTAAAAGATTAAACAAAGTGTTATTTCATCCTTTTTGGGGGCAAATTTTTTTAGCTTTTGTATTCCTAGCCTGAGTTAACACGGGGTAGCTATTCTGAAAGTGTTTATAGTGTTTTAGTTTAGGTGAGTGGTTGTCCAAAGCCATTGTTTCTGATATTTGAGTTTTTCAGCTTTTGGTTTCTTGAGACAGGGTCTTGCTATGCAACACAGACTGTCCTTGAACTCACGATCCTCCTGTCATAGCCTTCTGGGTGCGAGGATTACAGACATATACTGCCAATGCCTGGCATGAGATTTTTCTGTATGTGTAAAGTATACCTTAACTCTCTCTTCTTTGTTTTACTCCACCTCCATGCCACTTACAGAAACAGAAAGTGAAAATGAATTTCGCCCCTTGGATGAAAGGATAGATGAATTTCACCCCAAAGCAACAAGAACTCTCTTTATTGGCAACCTTGAAAAAACCACTACTTATCATGACCTTCGCAATGTCTTTCAGCGCTTTGGAGAAATTGTGGTATGTTGCTTTGATGATAAAAATAGTTTTAGATCTTTGTCATAAAACATACATTTGGGAAGATGATATTTATTGGTGTAATAAGTATTTTCCCATTTGCTCTGTGCATTTTTAATTCCTATAAAAAGATAATCCAGAGAGATCCTTTTTTGGTTCATGAGCATGATGATTGGGTGTTGACGCCTCTGCGTGACATGTGCCGCCCTCAAAAGATGACCCAGAGAAACACTGCAGGTCCTGTTCTGTTTATGTACATAAAGTCTACAACGTGTATTCGTCTAAGGATATTTTTTGCTCATCTGTTTCTTACCGTTTTTGTCCATTGGTTTCTGTTGTAATGTCATGTGTACTACTGTGAACTGAAAGGAAAATCTGGAAGAGAAGACATTTGTAAAAAGCAGCAAATTGGTGCGTGCTCTTGTGTGACCACAGTGCCCATTAAATATCTGGGGACTACTAGGATGTAGGTGTCACGTGCTGGAAGGTCTACCCTGTTTTGAAGTCGTCATTTTTTGGGAGGGGGAGCAGGGTATGGAGTATTTTGAAACAGTGTATTGCTATGTAGCCCACACTGGCCTGGAACTCACAGTGTAACCCAGGCTGGCCTCAAAATGATAACCGTCCTGCATGTGTATGCACACACACACACCCTGACCACACACCCCACACTGAGGTACCACCATGCCTGACTCCTCTTTATGTTATATAAGACATTCTTATATTTAGAGATACAAGAATTTTTCTGTATTTTAAAACTTTAGTCAATTTGCAACAAAAAAAATAATTTTGTTACATGTGTACTCTTTGGATATGCTATTTTCTGTATTTGAAAAAACAGGGAAATTCTGATTTTTCAAAATTATTTACTAATAACAGTAAAGAAATTACTCTAGTACATTGACTTAGGAGAGTAAAAATGTTATTGGTAGGAACAGGTGTTAAGCTGTCCTGGTGTGTGTGTATATTCATGTCTGTCTACTTGCCCATCCTTTTTTACACTACACTGTTGAGCTAAGCAAAAAGATTCTTTTTTTGATGATATGATCTGGTCTTTTTTTGAGACAGGGTTTTACTACATAGCGGAGGCTGTCCTTGAGTTTAAGAACCTGCCGTAAGGGGTGATGGAGTGGCTCAAGTGGTAGAGCACCTGCCTAGCAAGTATGAGGCCTTGAGTTCAAACCCCAGTACTACAAAAATAAATAGATAAATAAAGTAAAATGAAATGACTTCATAGTGGTTTAAGTAGTAGAGTCCCTGCCTAATGAGTGAGGCCCTGTGTTCAAACCCCAGTCCCACCAAAAAAAAGAAAACCTGCTTTATCCTTCTTCCCAGGTGCTCAGCCTTAAACCTCGTCTGTCTCTCTCTCTCTCTCTCTTTTTTTTGGGCAGTACTGAGGTTTGAACTCAGGGTCTCATACTTGTTAGCCAGGTGCTGTACCACTTTAGCTTCTCTGATGGTCCTTTTTTTGTGTGCGTGTTGGGTATTTTTGAGATAAGGTCTTTCTTTTATTCTGCCTGTGCTGGCCTCAAACTGTGATCCTCCTTATCTCTGCCTCTAAAGTAGCTAGGATTAGAGGCATGAGCCACCAATGCCCTGGTAATTTAGTCTTCTAAACAAAACATTATTTAATTTGGCTGATCTAAACCTCAATTTATAGGAATTGGGGGCAGCAAATAGAGCATTTGGTAGAAAAGGAGAAAATAGAAAAACCATAGTTAGAGAGCTATACCAGCAAAACATTCATCTTCCTTTCTTTCCCAGTTATATTGATTTTGCAAGTTCTGTTTTTATAAGAGTAGCATACACTCTTTAATTCCAGCTCTACTTGCCTACCTAGATGGGTGAGTTGATCACTTGCCTATCTGCTCTCCATTTTCTGTCTGTAGACTTTTACCTATATATCATTTAATTTGTTATTTGTGATTCAAAAATCTTTTAATTGATAAAACTTTTAGATGTACCTGTATTTGAATTTAACTATTTAAATTTTGGAGCAGCAAACAAAGGTGTAGTTGGGCATCTCCAGGATTGCCAAAAATGGGGTGATTATTGTGTTTTAAGAGTTGTTCTCAGCCAGGCACCGGTAGTTCACTCCTATAATCCTAGCTACTCAGGAGACAGAGAGATCAGAGGGATTGCAGTTCAAATCCAGCCTGGGAAGATAAAAAAGAATGTTTATATAAAAAGAGTTGTTCTCAGTGGTTATGTTGATTTTCTGTTTGAAAACCAAGCTGTCATGTTAGCAGTTGCTGACTATTACTACTACTTTTTCTTATAATTATTTTGGCAGTACTAGAGTTAGAATGCAGGGCTTCTGTACTTGCTAGGCAGACTCTTGTCACTTGAGCCAGAGCCACACCTCCAGTCTTTTTGCTCTGGTTATTTTGGAGATAGGGTCTCACTTTTTGCCCAGGCCAGACTGGATTGCATTCTTCCTGTTTTATGCTTCCCACCTAGATAGGACGACATGTCTATGCCACCATGTCTAGCTATTGGTTGAGGTGGAATCTCACCAACTGTTTGCCTGCACTGGCCTCAAACTTTCATCCTTCTGAACTCAGCCTCCAAGTAGCTAGGGTTTACAGGCATGAGCCATTTTACCTGGCTTATTTATTTATTTATTTATTTATTTATTGAGAAATTGGTGTATGTTATCTAGACTTATCTAAAACTTCTAGGCTCAGGTGATGATCTTATCTCAGCCTCCCAAGTCCTGGGACTACAGGTGGGTGCCACTCTACCTGGCATCATTAGTGTTAACTATTTTAAGTGGCACACAAACTTTTGGAAAACTAGTCTGCTGTTTATTGATGATAGATCATGCTGTAGGTGGAATAACTGATTTAATGAATTTGCTCACCAGTGTTCGGATTTTTTAATTCTATGTAACAGTGAAGATTAGCTCCTCTTTACCATTTCTTTGAAAATTTTTGAGTATAGATTATTGCTTTTTTTTTTTTTAAAGACCCATTGAGTAGCTCTTTAAATGTATTACTCATTTTGCTGTTTGCAAGTTTTGATTAAGTGTCTTAAGGAGGCTTGTATAACCACAGTGCTTATTCTGTAATTCATGGCCCAGGTCATTATTGTTTAAGTACAAGTTTTGCCGTCTGGTTTCTTTGAACCATTTTCCTGTCTAAGACAGGTGTTTTCCACTATCTCCTTTCAGTAGGTAGGACAGGAGCATCAAGGAACTGCTACAGGTCTTGTGCATTTTGAGTAGAAAGGGTTATTCCTATGTGGAATATTTCTTTAATGTAGCGATGCTGTTCTGGTGCATCTTCACATAGTGATTCAGGTATTTATATAGTCACTCATTCTGAATATGAGGTCATTTTGAGACTCAGCAATCCAGCCTTGGCTTAATTGGATATACTGGCATAGTGATATAGATGAGTCTTGATACAGGAGTGCATGTTGTACTGGATGCCGTGGCTCATACCTGTAATCCTAACTACTGGGAAGCTGAAATCAGGTGAATGGAGGTTCAAGGCCAGCCTAAGCAAATAGTGTAAAAAAACCCCATCTCCAAAATAATAGAGCAAAATGGATTAGAGGTGTGGTGCAGACGGTAGAGTACTTTCTTTGTAAGTGCAAAGCCCTGAGTTCAAACCCTAGTCAATCCAAAAAAAGAAAAAGAAAATAAATATTGCATACTTTAAATCACCTTTTTTTTTTTTTTTTGGCAGTACTGGGGTTTGAACTCAGGGCCTCACACTTGCTAGGTAGATGCTTTTAGTGCTTGAGTCATGCCCACAAGGACTAGGCTTATCATGATTTATTTTCTTGTTGGGGTATTGCTGAGTGGTATTGATTGGCTTTTTCAGGATATCGACATTAAGAAAGTAAATGGAGTTCCTCAGTATGCGTTCTTGCAATACTGCGATATCGCCAGTGTTTGTAAAGCTATTAAGAAGATGGATGGGGAATACCTTGGAAATAATCGCCTCAAGGTAAACGAATTTGCATAAATTATTTTGCTGTTCCAGTTTGTTTTGTTTTTAAGATTTGGTGATTTTGTGCATATATCTGATTATTTAATGTTGCAGTAGTTGGTTAGGTGACCATAAAAGTCATCCTCATCCTATCATATTACAACATGAACTAATGCCTGGTGAGCCAGGCAGGTTTGCTGCTTTATTGTAAATTTCTATTTGGTTTTAGTCAGATGTTTCCCACTTACAGTGTCAGTTTGATGGGTTGGAGGTGTAGCTTATTGGTACAGAGAGTGTTTAGCTTGCGTGAGGCTCTGCACTTAGTACATAGCCCCTTAAAAAAATAGTTGATAAGATTCCTATAGAGACTAGTTTTCTGAGCATTTTGTAGTTGAATAAAAATTGTGAACTTTACTAATAGAAATCTCACCTTTTCTATTCAGCTGGGGTTTGGGAAGAGTATGCCTACAAACTGTGTGTGGTTGGATGGGCTCTCCTCAAGTGTGTCGGATCAGTATTTAACACGACATTTCTGCCGGTATGGGCCTGTGGTAAAGGTAGGTGAGGGGCTTGTGACTTTGTTTTCTTGCTACTCCATTCTTTCAGTTCCAATTTCTAGCACTGTCTTTTCCTTTTAACAACTTGGCACTTTAAAACTCTGTTGAAATTTGGTCTAGAAGGTCATTTAGATGCATTAGCTTATGATATGATTATTTTCAATAAGTATTTTGAGTCTGGTGCCCATGGCTACATCTGTAATCCTAGCTACTTGCAAGTTTGGGAACATGAGGATTGTGGTTTGAGGCCAGCCTGGGAAAATAGTTCAAGAGACCTCATCTCCAAAATAACTCCAGCAAAATGAACTGGAGGTGTGACTGGAGTGGTAGAGCACCTCCTGTGTAAGGACAAAGCTCTGAGTTCAAATCCCAGTCCTGGTAGATAATTTTGAAGGATCAGAGATACATCTTGGTGATAGAGTGCTTCCTTAGCCTGTTCAGAGCCCTGGGCTCAGTCCCAGCACCACAGAAAAACAAAAACAAAAGTTCTTTTTAACCAACCAATATGTTTGAAATTTTTTTAATTATAATTTTTATCAGGATATATTCGTTATATGGGGGGAATTCATAGTGACAATTCTGATTAGGCTTACATTGTACATTTATTAAATCATCCCCATCGTCTCTCCCCCTCAACCCCCTCCTTGTCCCACTTAAAGCAATTGCGTGAGGTCTCTTGGTTATATTTCATGTAAGTTTATGAAGTCCATCAACCATATACCCTCACCTTAATCTCCTTCATTCTTCCCCCACCTCACTGTACCTATGTTACAGTCCTGTCTTTCATTGTTAATATTTAAGTTGATGTTCAAAGGGGTTTCTCAGTGTAGCCTCACTGTGGGGTATTCTTTACTTTGATCCATTTAACCCCTTCGTGCTTGAAAATACTGAAACTGCTCTACAATTAAATAAAATAGAATAGAATCTTTCATACTGATTTTTCTGGGAAAAGAAAACAATAGAATCTTAAGAGATTTTTATAATTTTCTCTCACCATAAAATTAAACAGCCTCATTATATAATTATTCACACTTACACTAAAAATCTAATAAGACGATTTCTTTTTAAGCATATGACTTTAAAGTTCATACAACAGACTATTGATCTGATTAGTGTTGTTATATATTACACACCCACGAACAACAAGAAAAGGATCTTGGGTCCCATTGCCATTGTGTGAGGGTAAAAATTTAACTCCTTAAAAGCATATTTACTCTGTGATGGACCCATTGGATAACACTGACATTTATTTAGGTGTAGTTTTTGTTGTTTGGAAAAAAATACATCTTAAAGATGGCCTATATAAAAATTCAACAGCTTTAAAACAGTAGTGCTATTTATAAACAAAATTCACTGAAATTCTTTTGTTGGTTTAGCATTGTAATTTTCCCCCCCTTTTCAAGTTTTTTTTTGGAGGGGGGCTGGGATGAGGGTTTCTGGGTTTATACTCAGGGCCTCATGCTTGCTAAGCAGGCACTCTACCACTTGAGCCACTCCACCAGCCTTTTTTTTTTTCTGGAGACAAGTTCTTGCTATATATGTAATGAGGCTGGCCTGGAACTTGCTGTGTAGCTCACATTGGCCTCAGACTTACAATCTCTTGCCTCTACCTCGTAAGTGCTGAATTCGCAGGTGTGTACCATCATGTTTAGCTAATTTTTTTTTAACCAAAAATAGAAGAATGCTTTACTTAAATGTAATACAGTAGTCAGTCAATATGGAAAAAAAATATACAGAAAAACAAAATAAAGGCATAATAATATATCTTAAATCACAATATCCACGAGTCCAAACAGTCCCTGCTCATTTTATTGTGTGTTACTATTATGACAGGCTTCATTAGGAAAAGCCTGACTTTTTTTCTAGAATAAAATATATGTAGTGATTTTTCTTGGCCATGTCCTTGTGACTTAGAATTTTATTGGGGCTAACACTAAATCCAGTGGATGAGGTTCTTAACTGGTTTCTCTTTTGTTTTGTACAGGTGGTGTTTGACCGCTTAAAAGGCATGGCCCTTGTTCTCTACAATGAGATTGAATATGCACAAGCAGCTGTAAAAGAGACCAAGGGGAGGAAAATTGGTGGGAATAAAATTAAGGTGTGACTTAAAGGGAAGCAAAACAAAATCATATTCAAACCTCACCTCACTAATAACTGGACATTTATAGGTTGTCAGCAAACGGAATGATTTATAGGATATGCTTTACACGTTCTCAGCTTTAGGGGGAATATTGCAATTTTTATATGCTTGTCTACTTGTGGACACAGATCTCTTAAACCACCAGCCACAGGTCCTCCCATAGCAGTCCTCTCATTCAAGGAAGTGTCTTCTCACTGTCCTGGGTACCTGATGCTCATGTACAGGCCCACATACAGGTACTATGAGTGGCTGCACTCAGGGTGGTGAAGCTTCCTGAAGGTCCTGCCTCCTCCTTTCCCCTTCTCCTAGAGTGTGGGTAGCCACTGTAAGCATTTTTTTTTTTCCTGGTATTATTTGTTGTTTGAGTGAATTGTGCTCTTAATATCTAATGGTTAGATTAAAATAAAATGATAAAGATACTGTTAGCTAATAGCTATCATACATATTGTGACTTTGAGGGCCTCTGTAAATAAATTTGAAATGTTTTTCCATTTTCTGCTATAACTGTTCTAGCAAATGTATGTGTAATGCAGATTGCTAGATTTAATTGACCTGATTATATTTCATTGTCAACTTAGAATCCTGGCAGAGATTTCAGTTTTCCATTTTACTTTTTATTCCTTTATTTATTTATTTTTTTTTCTTTTGGAGACAGAGTCTATATAGCCCTGACCAACCTCAAACTTGTGGTCCTCCTGCCTCAGCCTTCTAAGAGCTAGGATTCTAGGTGTATACCTCCACACCAGGCCTTTTCACTCCTTTTGAATTGGGCGCTGGAACCTTAAGTTACATTTGTCCAGACTTATATAGAAGTTTAGAGACTTTAGGTTAACAAAATAGAGCTTCTGGGGGTTGGCAGAATGGCTCAGGTGGTAAGAGCGCCTGCCTAACAAGCATGAGGCCCTGAGTTCAAACTTGAGTGCCGTGAAAAAAACAAAAAATAGATTTTCTGTTATGAGGACTGCTTCATTTGAGATAGATTACTCTTTTTTGAAATTTGACCAGAAGGGATATGTTGTGAAGAAATTTCAAATTTGATAACACTTTCCATAATTAAAATCTGAAAGTTGGATTATCTTTTTTTTTTTTTTTTTTTTTTTTAAGGTTGATTTTGCAAATCGGGAAAGTCAGCTAGCATTTTATCACTGCATGGAGAAATCCGGTCAAGATATTAGAGATTTTTATGAAATGTTAACAGAAAGAAGGTATGTATGTAATGAAGTTAAGTAAGTGTTTTGCAGTGCCTTTTGCATGCTAGACCATCATTCTACCTCTGCGTTGTATCCTCAGGCCTAGCAGGTACATATTTAAGCCTGTCAGTATAGCTTGAATTTTAGTACATAACACACAAAAATGAGATGGAATTAAATTTTATTTTTCACTCCTTACTTGTACTCTCATCTCCCAAGAAAACCTTCTTAGTATGTCATATAGAAACACAAGCTTGTTTTTGTGAATCCAGATTTCATGTGGCTCACAGGGGCATTGAAATTCTGTACCTAGATTTCTCGTTGAATGCTCCTACAGTTTGGAAGAGCACTGTTTTGCCAGTCATTTACTGTTAACTATAACTATAGTCATTCTGCACTATAGCTTTAACTGTCACAGTATGTATTAGAGCGGGCTGCAAACTGTTACATGCCTTCCATACATAGCAATGACATCTAGCTTTTCACTACACGTGTGCTCATACTTGTAACAAAAACCCCATGCTTCTGAAGAATAGCAAGGGCTTTATTTATTTGAATCTCCTAAATATTTGTGAATCAATAAGCCAAAGCTTACATATATAAACTGATAATTATGGCAATATGAAAGGTGAGCCTTATTTCTCCATGTTAACTTTTTTAGTCACAGTAATGTAATATTTGATATTTTTTCGCTGATTATTCAGAATACTAAAGCTTCATAACATAATGCCATCAGGTTCTTCAATAGCTGATTACATTTGAAAAGGGAAACACTTGTGGATATGGTGAAGCGCCACTCGACATATGTGTCAGTCAAAAAAGGCTTTGTGTGAAAAACTTTTTGAGATACTTAAAGTCAAGAATGAAGAGGGCTTTGACAGAGATATGCCAGCTTGTGATTGTGCTGCCAGAAACTTTTGAATTTATTCTCCATCTATTGCCTCTTCTTGCCAGTTTTTTTTTTTTTGAGACCACAGAAAGCGTATGTCTTGGAGTCATTTCCTAGCAAAATATTGTGCAATAATCACTGAACATTTGGAGCTTTTTAAGTGAAAAATGTCCCCCACTGCCAAATTCCTAAAAGTTTGAACAAGTAAGGTTTGGATACTTTCTCATTAATAGATCAAAATCCAAATCATAAAAGATAAGAACCAACAGTCCAGTAGCTAGAAAGCCAGTCAAGGTAGCTAGCTAGTCTGTCTCACTTGTGTGTGTGTGTGGTTAAAATCCTGTGTGTGGGGGTGTGTGTGTACACGTTAACTTTTTTTTTTTTAAAGAACAGTGTATTTTTGCAGGTTGGAGGATGTGGTATAGGTATTAATTTTTACATATTACTACTTAAAATTCACTCATTTTAGTGATGATTTTGTCTCTGGCTTTGTTCTTTGGTTCTTTTCCATGGTTATTTATTTCTGTCCAATGGCCTTTTTCTCCTAATGGAGGAAGCCGGAGGATGTACTTCACTGTGACTCGGGCCTACCTCTTTTGGTTTCAGAGGGCAGTGTCTGTGGAATGCAGTGGTTGCAGTAGAAGTTGAGGATTCTTGCCTTCTCCATAGAGTAGAGGAAGGTCATCACACTGAACCTTTGAAATGTTGTACTCTGATGATTCATCTCAGGAATATAAACACTTGACTTTATTTTCACAGGGCTTAAGTATTTCATTTGATCCCTGTACTCTGTCAGGAAGGTAGGGACATCACTGTTGTCTTATTTTATTAAAGGAGTTGAAGGCCAAGTAACTTGCTACTGAGGTCATAGGCTAAGTGAAGGTTGTGTAGGGTACATCCAGGGTTCATACTTGCTAGCTTTACACTTTACCAAGCGCTTTTTAGGATTTATGTGGACTTCCCACCCATGGTAGTTTGTGAACAGAGTTCTCCAAACCTGACTCGAGCAGTTCCTCAGTGTCCCTTGTACATCCCCCTGTGCACAAGGTCCAGAGTGCTCGGTTGTGTTGTTTCCTGAAGTTGTTGAGCTCCTTGAGAGCAGGGCTGCTCATTTCTTTTTATGGTCAGGAGACCCAGCAAAATAAATATTTATTAAACCAAACAGTGCTCTAGGACAAATTTTACACTGATACCTCTGACTCAAACTTTTAAAAAATACTTTGAGATGCAGTTTTAGTTTGCGGGTTTTTATTGTTGTTGCTGTTTGTTTTATAGAAACCCAGGGCTGTGCACGTGCTTAAGCATACACTTCACTACTGAGCTTCAAGTCTGGCCTGGTTTGCTTAGTTTTAAACATTTCTTGATACTGCGCTTTAAAATGCAACTGTGGGAATGTGATGGTACCTGCCTGGAATCCCAGCACTGTGGAAGTTGAGGAAGGAGCAGTGAGACTTTGAGGTCAGCCTGGGTTACATACTGAGACACTATCTCAAAAATAAATAAATAAATAAATAAATAAATAAAATGAAGTTCATTCTTTTAACAAATATTTGAGCGTCTGTGATGAGCCAAGCACTTGTAAGAGCTAGAGAAACTGGCTAAGAAGACAAAGCCTATTGTGCTTTTAGGGGCCTAAGTTCTAGTTTCAGTGAGCCACTAATGAAAATACTGTTTAGAATGAGCAAGCCAAGCCATAGACAGAAGAGCTTGTCAAGACGGGCTTTGTAGCTAAAGGACTGTTGAGTTTTAATCTTTTGCAATTTGGATTCTGATCTGTTAATGAAAAACCGTCCAAAACTTGGATGCTCAAGGTTTTAAAAGGAATTTGGCAGTGGGAGCTATTTTTCATTTAAAATTTTCTGGGAATGAATGAGAATGAAGGAATTGATTTGCCTCTGATGAGGGGGCATATTTAATTTTATGTAACATAAGCGTTCTTGCTTATCAGTTTAGTCCTGTGGTGAACGCACTGGACAGTGAGGGTGTGAGAAAACCCGCGGCGTGTGTCTTCTCCATGGAGTCCTCCTCCCAGTACTCACAGTTGCCCCTGATGTGTTAGGTGGTAGTTTGGGAAGAAGTAACATTTACTGAGAGCCAAGTACACAGGCTTATGTCATGAAAGTCTTTACAGATGTTATCCTAATCTCTCTGAGTTATATGAGGAAAAGGTACTATCATTCCATAAGTAAAAGGATAGTTCAGAGAGCTTAACCAAAGTACGTGTTTTCAGTTGTGAATCGAGATAAGGCTATTGTTGATACCGTGCAGATCCCAGAGCACTGGTAAGGTGGGGTTTTTTTTGTTTTTGTTTTTGTTTTTTATGTTGTTTCAGATATTTTTATTTCTGTAAAGCTTTTTGTTGAATTACAGGGTTTTTTATTTTATTTATTTTTTGGCAGCACTAGGGTTTGAACTCAAGTCATCACACATGCTAGGCAGGCACTCTTACCCCTTGAGCCACTCTGCCAGCCTGATAAGGTTTTAATTAAAATTTGTGTCTGTTTTCCAATCCAAGTTGTGGTGAGAATCTCTTTTGGCAAAAAAGTAATTGTGAAAGACTTAAAAATGTGTGGAGGTGGGGGTGGGCTGGGTGGGGGTGGTGGCATTTAATAATAAGTACCTGTTACGTCAGTACAGTCAGTACACTCGAGTTACCAAAAGAATGTAAAAAGTGCCGAGCCACCAGTGCCATTGAGAACGGATATAGTATATATGTGATTTTAAGCTTTCCAGTAGCCACATGAAAAAGTGAAAAGAAAAGGGTAGAACTAATTCTGTTTAACTCTTCATGTCTTAACATATTATCTTAACTTATCACCAATTTAAATAAATTACTGAGGTTTAAAAAAAAATTTTTTTTTAGGGCTGGAGGTGTGTCTCAAGCTGTAGCATGCCTGCTTTGCAAGTGCAAAGCCCTGAGTTCAAACCCCAGTCCCATCCCCCAAAAATTAATATTTAAAAAATGATACATAATTATATATGCCTCCCTGAGTACAGTGTGATAATTTGATATATGTGTACAATGTGAAATTGCAATTAGCATTTGGAACTACTTAAACATTTATTGTTTAAGTCTGTCTTTTTCTGTTTTTAGTTAATCTACAGAATCTGGTATCTTTCACTCTTACCTTAATTTAGACTAGCCAAATCTCAAGTGCTCATAGCTACAGGAGGCCGGTAGCTCTTGTTGGAGGGCCACTGCAGCTTAGTGAGTGGTTTCATAGGACTTTCTGATCTAATGCGTAAGTGATAAAACAAAGAACTAATGTGATATCTTCTGGTTTTGGCAGAGAGGAACGAAGGGGGTCCTACGATTACAGTCAGGACCGGACATACTATGAGAGTGTTCGGACCCCAGGCGCGTATGCGGAGGACTCCAGGCGGGACTATGCAGCTCGAGGGAGAGAATTCTACTCAGAGTGGGAAGCATACCAAGGAGACTACTATGAGTCACGGTATTATGATGAGCCTCGGGAATACAGGGATTACAGGAGTGATCCTTACGAACAGGATATTCGGGAATACACTTATAGGCAAAGGGAACGAGAGAGAGACCGTGAGAGATTTGAGTCTGAGCGGGACAGAGACCATGAGAGGAGGCCCATTGAGCGAAGTCAGAGTCCAGTGCACTTGAGAAGGCCGCAGAGTCCTGGGGCATCGCCCTCACAGTCCGACAGGTTGCCGAGTGACTCTGAGAGGAGGCTGTACAGCCGGTCCTCAGAGCGGAGTGGAAGCTGCAGCTCACTCTCCCCTCCACGGTACGATAAACTGGACAAGTCTCGTTTGGAACGCTATACAAAAAATGAAAAGACAGATAAAGAACGAACTTTTGATACTGAGAGAGTGGAGAGAGAGAGACGCTTAATACGGAAGGAAAAATTGGAAAAGGACAAACCTGACAAGCAGAAACGGAAAGGAAAAGTTCATTCCCCTAGTTCTCAGTCTTCAGAAACAGACCAAGAAAATGAGCGAGAGCAGAGCCCTGAAAAAACAAGGAGTTCTAATAAACTGAGCAGAGAGAAAGCTGACAAAGAAGGAATTGCAAAAAACCGCCTGGAACTCATGCCTTGTGTGGTTTTGACTCGAGTGAAAGAGAGAGAGGGGAAGGTCATTGACCACACTCCGTTGGAAAAGCTGAAATCCAGACTTGATAATGACACTGTAAAGTCTTCTGCTCTGGACCAGAAGCTCCAGGCTGCTCAGACTGACCCTGGAAAATTGGACTCGTCTAAAGTGGAGTCTGCCAGAGGGAAAGTGCCAAGGGAAAAGGCGCTTTCAACTCACGTGGAGGTGGCAGATAAGGAAGGCAGGCCCAAGCCCAGGAAGCACCTTAAGCCAGAGCAAGCCAGTGAGGGCCTGAGTGCTGTGGATCTAGAGAAGCTGGAAGCAAGGAAAAGGCGCTTCGCAGATTCCAGTTTGAAAGCAGAAAGGCAAAAACTGGAAGTCAAGAAAAGCAGTCCTGAAATGGAAGATGCTCGGGTGCTTTTAAAAAAGCAGACTGACCTGTCATCTAGAGATGTTACTGTGCTGAGGGAAGGAGAGTCTGAAAGAAAGCCTGTAAGAAAAGAAATTCTTAAAAGAGAATCTAAAAAAATCAAGCCGGACCGAATTAACATTGTTCCCAGCCCCAAAGACTGTCAGGAGCTTGGCAGTATTTCTGTTGGGTCTGGCTCAAGGCCCAGCTCAGACCTGCAGGCAAGACTGGGAGAACCAGTAGGTGAATCTGTGGAAAATCAAGAATCCCAGTCAAAAAAAGTCATACCCTCAAAACCACAGCTCAGACAGCTTCAGCACTTAGATGATCAAGGTCCAGAGAGAGAGGACGTCAGGAAAAACTATTGCAGTCTTCGTGAGGAAACACCTGAACGCAAACCAGGCCAAGAGAAACCACATGCCGTAAACACTGAAGAGAGCATAGGCATTGACATCGACCACACGCAGAGCTACCGCAAGCAAATGGAGCAGAGCCGCAGGAAACAGCAGATGGAGATGGACATAGCCAAGTCAGAAAAGTTTGGCAGTCCCAAAAAAGATGTAGATGAATATGAAAGACGGAGCCTTGTTCATGAGGTAGGCAAACCCCCTCAAGACGTCACAGATGACTCTCCTCCCAGCAAAAAGAAAAGGATGGATCACGTCGACTTTGATATCTGTACCAAAAGGGAGAGGAATTACAGAAGTTCACGCCAAATCAGTGAGGATTCTGAGAGGACTAGCTGTTCTCCCAGTGCCCGCCATGGTTCCTTCCAGGAAGATGAAGATCCCCTAGGCTCTCCAAGGCTAGCACCAGTAAAAGGGTCTCCTAAAGCAGATGAGAAAGGTCTCCCCTACTCTCATGCAACAGTGAGGGAGGAGTCCTTAAAATTTAATCCTTACGATTCTAGTAGGAGAGAACAGATGGCAGACATGGCCAAAATAAAGCTGTCTGTCTTGCATTCTGAAGATGAACTTAATCGTTGGGACTCTCAAATGAAACAAGAGGCCAGCAGATTCGATGTGAGTTTCCCAAACAGCATCATTAAAAGAGACAGCCTGAGAAAGAGGTCTGTGAGAGATTTGGAACCTGGTGAGGTGCCTTCAGATTCTGATGAAGATGGTGAACACAAATCCCATTCTCCTAGAGCCTCTGTGTTATACGAAAGTTCTCGACTGTCTTTTTTATTAAGGGACAGAGAAGACAAACTACGTGAACGAGATGAAAGACTCTCTAGTTCTTTAGAAAGGAACAAGTTTTATTCTTTTGCACTGGATAAGACAATCACACCAGACACTAAAGCTTTGCTTGAACGAGCTAAATCCCTCTCTTCATCCCGAGAAGAAAATTGGTCTTTTCTGGACTGGGACTCCCGATTTGCTAATTTTCGAAACAACAAAGATAAAGAAAAGGTTGATTCTGCTCCAAGGCCTATTCCATCATGGTACATGAAAAAGAAGAAAATCCGGACTGATTCAGAAGGGAAAATGGCCGATAAAAAAGATGATCATAAAGAAGAGGATCAAGAGAGGCAAGAACTGTTTGCCTCTCGTTTTTTACACAGCTCAATCTTTGAGCAAGATTCTAAGCGACTGCAGCACCTAGAGAGGAAGGATGAGGAGTCAGCCTTCCCTTCTGGGCCGTTGTACGGGAGGCAGGCATCTGACGGAGCAAACAGCACAAGTGAGTCAGTGCAGGAACCAGTTGTTCTCTTCCACAGCAGATTCATGGAGCTCACACGAATGCAGCAGAAAGAAAAAGAAAAAGACCAAAAACCCAAAGAGGCTGAGAAGCAGGAAGATGCAGAGAATCATCCCAAAACCCCAGAGACTATTACAGAGAATAAAGAGTCAGAACTAAAAACACCACTCCCAGCCGGGCCTCCTGGTGTCACAGCCATCACTCCAGAATCCGTGTCATCAGCAACAGAGAAGGCCAGTGAGAAAATAGCACAAGCACCTCTGGTGACAGAAGAGAAGACTGTGGAGACAGCCTGTGTTCCAGAAGAAGCAAAACTTGTATCTGAACTGGCACCTGTCCCTGTGGAACAACCTGAACAAGTAGATGTGCCCCCAGGAGGGGACACCAGTAAAGATGCTACTGTGACACCTTGCTCTGTTGAAGACAGCTCACCTGTTGACCCACAGCCTTATCTGGATACCAAGCCTCCTACTCCTGGATCCTCGTTTTCCCAGATAGAAAGCAATGGGGATCCAGAACCTGACAGTCCCCAGCCACTTTCCAAACCAACTCAGAAGACTGAGGAAGCTGAAGAGCCAAAAGTGGAAAAGCTGGATGCTGCCGTGGATGTTGAACCTAACGCAAATCAGAAAGCTGAAGTTGCTTCTGAGGCACAGCCTCAAGCTTCTGAAGATGCAGAAGTAGACCCTCCAGTTGCTGCAAAAGATAAGAAGCCGAACAAAAGTAAGCGCTCCAAGACACCAGTTCAGGCAGCTACAGCAAGTGTGGAGAAGCCCGTCACACGGAAGAGTGAGAGGATAGACCGGGAAAAGCTAAAGCGGTCCAGTTCCCCCCGGGGAGAAGCACAGAAGCTGTTAGAATTGAAGATGGAAGCAGAGAAGATTACAAGGACTGCTTCTAAAAACTCCTCGGGGGAACCTGAGCACCCTGAGCCAAGTCTGCCTCTCAGCCGAACGAGACGTCGGAATGTCAGGAGTGTTTATGCAACCATGGGTGATCATGAAAACCGTTCCCCAGCCAAAGAGCCTGTTGAGCAACCTAGAGTAACTAGGAAGAGATTGGAGCGAGAGCTGCAGGAGGCCACAGCAGTTCCCACTACCCCTCGGAGGGGGAGGCCTCCGAAAACACGGCGTCGAGCTGATGAGGATGAGGAAAATGAGGCTAAAGAACCTGCAGAAACACTAAGGCCAGCTGAGGGTTGGAGATCCCCACGGTCTCAAAAATCAGCAGCTGCTGGCGGTCCTCAAGGGAAAAGGGGGAAAAGTGAACCTAAAGTTGATGCTGAGCGTGCTGAAGCTGCTGCTGAGGCGAGTCCCCAGAGGAATGTGAAGGAAAATAACAGCAAATCCAAGGCTGATAAGGAGGAAGCAGGGAGTGAGCAGAAGCGTGACAGAAGAGAAACAGACAAAAATGCACCTGAAACTCCCCCAGTTGAAGTGGTGGAGAAAAAAGCAACCCCTGAAAAAAGCTGCTGCAAGTCAAAGAGAGGAAGGTCCCGGAATGCTAGGTCCGCAGTGGACAGATCTGCACATCTGAAAAGTGTAGGTGCAGCTGCCAGTCCTGGGGCGGCCATAGGTACTACAGGGCAGTCTGTGGACAGGGAAGCTGGGCTTGCAGCAGTCTCCCCTGAGAAAATTGAGAGCCCCCCCGAAAAGGAGGATAGCTCCTCAGCCAAGTTAAAAAATGATCCAGTTGATCCTGACAAGGAGAGGGAGGATGGGGCTGCCTGTAAGCAGTGCCCGGAGGCCACTCAGTTAGCCAAGCAGATGGAGCTGGAGCAGGCTGTGGAGAACATTGCGAAGCTCACTGAGACCTCTGCCAATGGCACTTACAAGGCTGCAGGCCCAGCTGCCCCTGAAGATCTCACCACTGAGGATAGGGACAAACCTGCACGCCAGGCGAGCGAAACTGAACTGGCTGCAGCTATTGGTTCCATCATCAATGACATTTCTGGAGAGCCAGAAAACTTCCCTGCTCCTCCCCCTTACCCTGCAGAATCTCAGACGGATCCGCAGCCCCCGGAGGAAGGAATGGAGCCTGAGACCCATGAGGCTGTGTCTGGAATCTTGGAGGCTGCTACAGAGTCTTCTGGGTCACCAGTCAGTGCCCCTGATCCCTCAGCAGGCCCAGCAGGTACGAAGGAAGCCAAAGGGAACAGCAGTAACACCTCCAATTCAGTGCAGGAAACCAAAGGGTCCAAAGAAGTGGAAGTTACCAGGAAAGACAAAGGGCGCCAGAAGACAACACGGTCACGCCGCAAACGGAACACAAGCAAGAAGGTAGGCCCCCCAGTAGAGACCCAGGCCTCCGAGACTGACCAGGCTCCAAGCAAAGGCCCTGCTGTGAATGAGGAGACACCCGTACTGCCCCCAGAACCTCCACAGGAAGAAAAGAAGAGCGAAAAGCCCCCTTCTGCTCCTCAGGCTTGTGCTACTGACCCAAGCAAGACTCCTCCTGCAGAGAGTTTGTCCCAAGAAAGCAACACTGAAGAGAAGACCCCAGCCAAAGCACCTGTACTCCCAGACCTCCCCCCTCTCTCCCAGCCAGCACCTGTGGATGATGAACCTCAAGCCAGGTTCAAGGTGCATTCAGTCATTGAAAGTGATCCCGTGACCCCACCCAGTGACTCAAGCATACCCCCACCCACAATTCCTTCCGTGGCTGCAGCCAAACTCCCACTGCCTGTCCTCTCTGGAGGAGTCCCACATGAGAACTCTTCTACCAAGGTGACAGAGTGGATCACCAGGCAAGAGGAACCACAGGCTCAGTCCACTCCATCTCCAGCTCTTCCCCCAGACACAAAGGCCTCTGACGTGGACACCAGCTCCAGTACATTACGAAAGATCCTCATGGACCCCAAATACGTATCTGCCACAGGCATCACTTCCACGAGTGTCACCACGGCCATTGCAGAGCCCGTGAGTGCTGCCCCTTGCTTACATGAGGCACTGCCCCCGCCAGCTGAATCTCAGAAGCCTCCTTTAGAAGAAAAAGCATCAGTTCCAGTAACAAGTGCCTCTGACACACAAGCCTTAGAGGTTCCAGTTGCCACTGACAAAGAAAAAGTGGCTCCAGTCATTGCCCCTAAAATCACCTCTGTCATTAGCCGGATGCCTGTCAGCATTGATTTGGAGAATTCACAAAAGATAACTTTGGCAAAACCAGCTCCTCAGACCCTGACTGGCCTGGTGAGTGCTCTGACTGGCCTGGTGAATGTCTCCCTGGTTCCTGTGAATGCCCTGAAGGGTCCTGTGAAGGGCTCAGTGGCCACACTGAAGGGGCTAGTGAGCACCCCTGCTGGACCCATGAATGTCCTGAAGGGACCTGTGAACGTCCTCACAGGGCCTGTGAATGTCCTCACCACTCCAGTCAATGCCACAGTGGGCACAGTGAACGCTGCCACGGGTGCAGTGACAGTCACAGCAGGTGCAGTGACTGCTGCTTCTGGTGGTGTGACTGTCACAACAGGTACAACAACTATGACAGGTGCAGTGATTGCACCATCGGCAAAAGGCAAACAGAGATCAAGCAGTAATGAGAACAGTCGGTTCCACCCTGGGTCCATGTCTGTGATTGATGACCGGCCGGCAGACACGGGCTCTGGTGCAGGGCTGCGTGTGAATACTTCTGAAGGGGTTGTGCTCCTGAGCTATTCGGGGCAGAAGACAGAAGGCCCGCAGCGAATCAGCGCCAAAATCAGCCAGATCCCACCTGCCAGTGCAATGGACATCGAATTCCAGCAGTCAGTGTCCAAGTCTCAGGTCAAACCTGATTCTGTCACACCATCGCAGCCTGTGCCTAAAGGTCCTCAGGCTCCTCCAGGCTTTGCAAACGTGGCCACTCATTCTACCCTGGTTCTGACTGCCCAGACATACAATGCCTCTCCCGTGATTTCGTCTGTGAAGGCCGACCGGCCATCCTTGGAGAAGCCTGAGCCCATTCACCTGTCTGTGTCCACACCTGTTACTCAGGGTGGCACAGTGAAGGTTCTCACCCAGGGCATCAACACACCCCCAGTGCTGGTCCACAATCAGCTGGTCCTCACCCCGAGCATAGTCACCACTAACAAAAAGCTTGCTGACCCCGTCACACTCAAAATAGAAACCAAGGTCCTTCAGCCAACTAACCTGGGGTCTACTCTTACTCCCCACCACCCTCCAGCTCTGCCTAGTAAGCTGCCTGCAGAAGTGAACCATGTCTCCTCGGGACCTAGCACCCCGGCAGATCGAACTGTCTCCCACTTGACAGCCACAAAACCAGATGCACATTCTCCTCGACCCAGCGGGCCTACACCGTCCCCATTCCCAAGGGCGTGCCACCCCAGCAGCACAACATCTCCGGCACTCTCCACCAATGCCACAGTCATGCTGGCTGCAGGCATCCCTGTGCCTCAGTTCATCTCCAGCATCCACCCCGAGCAGTCTGTTATCATGCCACCCCACAGCATCACTCAGACCGTGTCCCTTGGCCACTTGTCACAGGGCGAGGTGAGAATGAATACGCCCACGTTGCCCAGCATCACATACAGCATCCGACCAGAGACGCTTCACTCTCCTCGGGCCTCCTTGCAGCCCCAGCAAATAGAGGTCAGGGCCCCACCGCGCGCTGGCACACCCCAGCCGGCCCCAGCCAGTGTGCCTGCTTTGGCCTCCCAGCACACTCCTGAGGAGGAAGTTCACTACCACCTCCCTGTCGCACGAGCCGCTGCAGCCCCTGTGCAGTCAGAGGTGCTGGTCATGCAGTCTGAATACCGGCTGCACCCGTACACTGTGCCCCGGGATGTGAGGATCATGGTGCACCCACATGTGACAGCAGTCAGTGAGCAGCCCAGGGCTGCCGAGGGGATAGTGAAGGTGCCACCAGCCAGCAAGGCCCCTCAGCAATCAGCGAAGGAAGCTGCCAAGGCATCGGACGCCAAAGCAGCCCCTGCCCCAGCCCCAGCTCCAGCTCCTCATGGTGAGGCCCGCATCCTCACAGTCACCCCCAGCAACCAACTCCAGGGGTTGCCTCTGACCCCGCCTGTGGTGGTGACCCACGGGGTGCAGATTGTGCACTCCAGTGGTGAACTGTTCCAAGAGTACAGGTATGGCGACATCCGCACCTACCACGCCCCGGCCCAACTCACACACACTCAGTTTCCTGTTGCCTCCTCCATTGGCCTGCCCTCCCGGACCAAGAATCCTGTCCAGGTGAGGAAGCCAGGATTCTCCCCTATCTGCTGGGCATGTGCTTTGGGGGGCTCCATGGCTTTGAGGTGGACATGGGTTAGGAAGTCACCTTTTGTCAAGATGGTAGGTTGGGGTGCAGGCACTGCTGGGGAGGCCCTCTGTAGGGGCTTCCCAGACTGGGTGGGGATGGGGTAGGAGTAGTGAAAAGATCACACCGGATTTGGGGAGGAGCTTTTGGGAATACCTGGCCCAGTGGCTCCTGCCTGCAGAGTTGGGGAAGAAGGTGATAGGCAACCTCTTTTCCCCAAGAATCAGCACAACTGATTAAAGCTCCCTCTGAGAACTTAGATGAGGTGCTGACCCTGTCCCTTGGTCCCATGGGTCCTTGGTTGGGGGAAGGGGCTTGTACACAGCCGACTCTTGACTGTCTGCTTTCCTTCACACTTTTAGGGTCCTCCTGATGGTGAGGCCTTACAGCCTACATCATCTACACAGCCTGCCCCGCTTGTGCCACCTGCCCAGCCTGCCCCACCTGTGCCACCCTGCCAGCCCTCCCAGCTCAGCCAAGCTGGCCAGCCACCAAGTAGCAAGATGCCTCAGGTCTCCCAAGAGGCAAAGGGGACCCAAACAGGAGGAGCAGAGCAGCCTCGCCTCCCAGCTGTCTCTGCAAACAGGCCGCCTGAGCCTCACACTCAGAGGGCCCAGGTGGAAACAGGCCAGACATCCCACCCTTCCCCTGTGTCTGTCTCCATGAAACCTGACCTCCCGGCCCCTCTGTCAGTGCAGGCTGCCCCAAAGCAGCCGTTGTTTGTCCCCACAACGTCAGGCCCCAGCACCCCACCAGGACTGGCTCTGTCGCACACTGAAACTCAGCCAGCCTCAAAGCAAGACTCTTCTCCACACTTGACTTCCCAGAGACCTGTGGATATGGTCCAACTTCTGAAGGTAAGCATGGGCAGGGCTGTCCCTGCTGCCCCCCAGACTGTGCTAAGTTTGACTTAGACCGGCTAGCTGCTGCCTAGAGCTCTGTCCAGCACAGCCCAGCTGTCCAGCCACAGGCTCACTTCCACTTTGTTTCCCTATGAGCAGAAGTACCCCATCGTGTGGCAGGGGCTGCTGGCCCTTAAGAATGACACAGCTGCTGTGCAGCTCCACTTTGTCTCTGGCAACAACGTACTGGCCCATCGGTCCCTGCCCCTGTCTGAAGGAGGCCCCCCACTGAGGATTGCCCAGAGGATGCGGCTGGAAGCCTCACAGCTGGAAGGGGTTGCCAGGAGGATGACGGTAAGAGTTGAGGGCCCTAGTGAGCGCCTGCCCCACCCACAGGGAGAGGAGCACATAGATGGCCCCTTGCCAGCCTGTCTCTTGACACGGGCAGAGTAATAGAATTTTTTTTTCCCTCTGAGTAGTGGAATTCTTGAGGTGAACAATGGCAGACACATTGTCTTTCTACTTGGTGTTAAATATCTCTAATCTGAAAACAAAGCGTGTTCTCTTTCAACAAATACAGGGTGGACTTGACTGACTTACCAGAGGTGACTAGGTGTGGGAGGGTGATAGTGGACTTAGCACCCTGGGTTGGACATGTGCTCCTGTTTGGCTAGGAGACCCCTGACCACTGGCCTCTGCCCCAGGTGGAGACAGATTACTGTCTGCTGCTGGCCTTGCCCTGTGGTCGTGACCAAGAGGATGTGGTGAGCCAGACCGAGTCCCTCAAGGCTGCGTTCATCACTTACTTGCAAGCCAAGCAGGCGGCGGGGATAATCAACGTTCCAAACCCTGGCTCTAATCAGGTTGGTCCAGTGTTCTTCCCCTTTGCTCTCTCCCTCACAGGTGGGCCAGTCTAGGGCAGGTGCTGTGGATTTTTCCAGTGACTCTAGAGTAGCCCAGGTGCTCCCAGAGGAGGTGGGCCAAAGGGCATTTTGTATGCCGCCAGCCTGGGCGGGGCCCCATTGCCTGTCCTGGAGAGAGCAGCTGAGGGGATTGGTGCGCTTGATGGAGAGGCCCCAGGACACATGGGAGTAGGTCTCATCTGCTGGGTATCGTCATGGGGTGGGCAGCTGGCCTGGCTCTGCCTGGGGTCTTATGCAGTGGGGAGAGCGATTTGAAGACAGAGGGTCCCACTTTTTCTCACTCCTCCCCCAGCCTGCCTATGTGCTGCAGATCTTCCCACCCTGTGAGTTCTCTGAGAGTCACCTGTCCCGCCTGGCCCCTGACCTCCTCGCCAGCATCTCCAACATTTCTCCCCATCTCATGATCGTTATTGCCTCTGTATGAGTCACTGAATGGTCATCACCTCCGGGTGTTTTCCTGAACCTCTGCTGCAAAAAATGCACACAGAACTCCGGACAGGACGACCCAGCCAGGTGGAGGGGAAGCTGCCGAAGGGGACAGGCTGCCAAGATGCCAGCTTCCTGCACCCTCGCGCCCGCCCAGATCCGTGGGACTGACCTCTGGGCGGTGGTGCTGCTACCTTGTATGTTTACAATGACACTTTCACCCAGGACAGATCACCAACCGATGGACTCGTAGACGCATAGAGGCTGGGTTTCTGTCTCCTCTTGGAGAAAAGGAACAAGGCAGTGGAATTTTTTTGTTTTTTAAAGAAACAAGAAGACACCTGCCTTTGCACTAAATTAGTGACTTGGACTTTTGCACAGTGAATATGGACTGTGACATTCTGGTGTACGAGAACACACATCACGGACTCCAATGCAGGATGTGGGACTTCTGCTGGAACCTGGGGGGGTGGTTCAAGGAACATTTCATTGGGTTTTTTTTTTTTTTTTTTTTTTTGCCCCACATCCTCCCTTCCCTGCTCATTGGATGTCACCTTTCTCAATTCTCCTGCTGCCACCACCTTTGACTTACCAGGATGTACAGTTTACAATCAAACAAGAGCAAACAGAAGGATTTTCTTTCTTGGTGGGACATGCAGAACTTGGGAGTGTGTGTATATATAAATATATAATATATATAAATATATATAATACTGACTTAAAAAATCAAATTTCCCTGACATACATTTTTTTTAATCTGTGCCAAAAATGTGTTTTCAAAGAAAATCTTATTTTCATACTCAGACTTTGTACCGTCATTCATTTGTATACGTGCACTTCGTTACAGCACGGGTCCTGCCGCCCGTGACATGGAAGTGTCACACAGCACCTGTACAAAAAGACTGGCCAATCCCTCTTCCTGTGACTGCTCCCAGACCTCCTAACACTTATTAATTTATGAAACTGTTTTTCTCAGCGCAGTTTTGTTTTGTGTGTCCATTGGATTACAAACTTTATTAAAAAATACAAAACACTTCGTGTGAATGTGATCATAGCTCAAGTGGGAGCAGCAGGGTCCTTGACTTACGGGAACAGTAGCCCTCTCTCCAACTTTGCTTTCTCTCGTCCCACCTGAAGTCTGAACAAGAGCCTTTCTGCCATGAAATCCTCCCCCAAAAGCATTTTACACCTTGTACAAAAAGACTTTTGTCACAAGCACTGAACTTTAACATTTTTCAATGTTATGGCATAGATAGATAGACAGATACTAACTGGTTGCTAGGCAGTGTTGAAGGCACTTCAGGTTTCCATACAGGATTATCCTCGGCCCCAAACTTAAGCCTGTTGTGCTGGCTCTGGCCATCTGGCCCCTTCCCTTCCCCCAGTGGGGTGCTGGCAGCACCTCAAAGGTGGGAGTAAAGCATGGTGGAGGTGCTTCCTATACTTCAGTTACTCCTGTACCTGCTTCCTGGCAGAAGGATGAAGGGAGATAAGTTCCCCTGCAGTTGTGGAACCAGGGTGGGGACAGGGACACGAGGAGCAAAGTTCATGTCTCCTGTGCACTAGTAGGAGGCTGGACAGGGCTCCTATGGAAGATCTAGATACCTGTAGATGGTGTCACCTATGAAGGGTCACCTATGCTGGGGACAAGCTGTGGAACGAGGCAGGGACAGGTCTCTAGCTCCCCACTGTTAGGAGTGAAGATGGACAGCCCTGCTTGCTGTGCCTGTCCCCACTGAAGCTCCAGGATGCTCCTTTCTGTCAGTCACTCTGGGCCAGCCTGGTGGTGGAGACTCCAGCAGGGCAAGTAAACATCTCTGGCTTGGTCTACTTCTGAAGCAAGTGTGGCTCTGCTACTTCCCCAGGCTCTGGGTTCCCAAAGAATCTGGCCAAAGAGTGGAAAACACTGTGGCCTTGGGGCTGGGCTCTCTGGGCCACTTGGGTCTGTCTCAGTGTGAAGTTGTGGTTCTCCTGCTGCCCTTTCCCCAACCACCCAGGCAGAGGGTAGTAGGGTCACAATGTTGCTTCCTGGGGTGCATGCAGCTCCATCTCAGGTCCAGGGTGCTGCATACACCCCAACTTGGGATCCAGTTGGCTAAGGGAAGACAGGTCCTTGGGCTCCACTTTTCTTCTGCAAGAGGGACAGCAGGGCTTTCCCAGAAGGTTGGTCCCTGGGAGGTGTGTACCCTTCTGTGGAATCAGCCATAGCTGCCAGCAAACCACCCACCCCCACAGGGACCTATAGGAAGCATTAGAAAATAATCAAATTTATTCTCTCTAGGGAAGGTAGGGGGAGGGTTCACCCTTCTCAGTTTTAGGGTGCCATCCATCCTTAAATAAACAGTCAGAAGGGCTGCCTGCTCAGTCCACAGATGGTGGGCATTCAGAAGCTGTGGGTGGGGTCTCTGCCAGTGCAGGTTGACCCTCCGCCCCGTCCCGAGGGCGGAAGACCAGCTCCCCAGCCTGCAGCACCTGCCCAGTCGGCCATGTGCTCCCTGGCCCATACTGCTGGTAGAAGTCCGCGTCGGTCTGGAACATGACTAGTGCCTGGGCCGTGTGGATCCGAACATGCTGAGCCAGGCTGTTGGCATCCAAGAATTTGTCCCCACAGGAATCACAGGCATAGAGGATGTGGGTGTTGGGGTCTGTGGAGGTGGAAGCTGCAGTCAGGGTGGGAAGAGCCCTGGCTCTACCAGCACTCAAACCCTGGGTGGCCCCTCTCACCTTCTTCCTGCACTTGCTTCACAGCTTTGCTGATCTCGGCTTTAAGTACTTCAGTCTCATCGGCTGTCACTGCAGCCCCCACTGGTACCACTGGGGGTAGAGTCAGCAGAGCCTGAGGGGAAAGCCACAGGCACCCCACCCCATTGCTGCCACCCAAGGCCAGCTGTCTATAACCGCTCTCTGCTGCCCATAGCCCGCACCTGTGAGTTGAGTAACGGCTGTTGCTGCCAGTGCCTCGGTGGCCAGCGTGACCATGTCATCCACAGTGACCACACTGACCTCACCACCCTCCTCTGGCTCCAGTATTTTGATGCCCGCCTTGCCCTGGTGCACAGTCTTCACATGGGAGCGCAGGTTGTCCACCCGGTTGAAGCCACGGCCACACTTGTCACAGAGGTAAGGCTTCTCTCCTGGTAGGGAGGCAAGGTTTGCTCCTGCTTTGGGAGAGGGGTTGCGGGGGGTGGAGGGAAGGACCTCCAGACCTCTTGCTTCCCCACCCCCAGCAGCCCCATCTTTTCCAGCAGGTTCTCTGGGGTGGCCACCAGAGCTAACAGTTGCTTCCAGTGGCACCCTGTCCCTCTGAAAGCTCTAAGAAAAAAGGAGCCTGCATCTGAACTGAACTGCCTCCAAGGCCACCTACCACAAATGCTGGCGCCCAAGGGGACAGTCCCCTTCCCACCCACCCATCGCCAGCAGGCACGTGTGCTCACCGGTGTGGATGATGATGTGCTTGGACAGGTCCCCCACGTTCACAAAGGCCTTGCTGCACACGCTGCACTTGTGGGGACGGATGTTGTCATGGTGGCGAATGTGATTGGCCAACTGGCTGGACTGGACGAACCTGCAGGGCAGCAAGGGAGGGAGGGGCTCTCACTGAGCTGAGCTGGGGGAGCAGGACTGGGACCACCTGAGTACAACCGGGGCGTGGGCACCAGTTCCAACCGCTCGTCCACCGTGTGCTCTGTCTGGACCCTGGGTAGCACCTTTTGCCGCAGCGCTCGCAGACGTAGGGCTTCTCCCCTGTGTGCTGGCGCACGTGGGCGATGAGGGAGCTGGCCTGGGTGAAGGCCTTGCCACACATCACACACTGGCACGGCTTCTCGCCTGGAGACAGACGTGGGGAAGACGTTGGCCCCACTTCTGCTCCCCACACTCCACCCCAAGCCCAGCAGCTTGCAGTGCCTGCTCACCCACCGGTGTGGATCCGGACGTGCCGCTGCAGTGCACCAGGGTCAGCGAACTGCCGCTGGCAGTGGATGCACACGTACGGCTTCTCCCCACTGTGGATCCGGAGGTGCCGCTTGAGGTTCCCTGCAGTGAGATCCAGTGTGAGCCTGTAAGCGGTACCACGCGGGGACCGAGGAGCGGGCATGGGAACAGCCGGGGCGCCGGGGCCTACCTGAGGTGGTGAACTGCTTCCCACACTCTCGGCACTTGAGGGGCCCATCTGCGATGTGGATCTTCAGGTGGGCCTTCAAGTTTCCCACCTGTGTCCAGGCAGGGGCTCAGAAGGGCCCCCACAGAACGTGGCCTTGGGCCCCTCCCCAGCCCCTTCCTCCAAGGAACAACTGATTCTCAGGTCTCCCAAGGTTGGGGGATGCCTTCATCTCCCCGAGGTCCAGAGAATGTTCCAGCTCCCTGCGTGAAAGGTAAAAACCACCCCACCCACTTCTTTCTGGCCCCAACCCCTCTCTACTTGCCCTCCCAGATGCCTGGGCCATGGGGTCGGAGTACCACCCTGGGGAGAGCTGCTGTTCACACACATGGTGGCTGCTCTCCACTAACCCTGAGGTGCCACCAGTAGATACTCTGGGAGGGCCGCACACCTGGTTGAACTTCTTGTCGCAGTGTGGGCACTTGTGCTCCTTGTCGGTGTCATGTGTCTCTAGGTGGCGCATCTTGGACGTGGGGTCAGAAAAGGAGCGGCCACAGTAGTCGCACTGGTAGGGCTTCTCGCCACTGTGCACCAGCTGGTGGCGCTTGAGGTTCCCCGAGGTGGTGAAGAGCTTGCCACAGTCCCCGCAGCGGTAGCGTGCCTCGCCTGAGTGCCGCTTCTTGTGCAGGTTCAGCAGGCTGATGAGCCGGTAGCTCTTGCCGCACTCCTCGCAGCCGTATGGCTTCAGTGGGCTGCAGGGTCAGAAGGCGACAACAGGGAAGGGAGCTCGCCAGGTCCCAGACAGGTGGCCCAGGGGAGGCGGGGTGGGTACCTGTGCGTCTTCTCATGGGCCTTGCACGCAGCGGGGTCAGAGAAGGCCTTGCTGCACTCCCGGCAGGAGAAGGGCTTCTCACCCGTGTGGATTCGGATGTGCCGCTTGAAGTTCCCCGTGTGCGTGAACTCCTTCCCACAGTCCTGTGGGCACAGCAGGAAAGGGGTGGGTGAGGGACTGCTGGGACTGGGCAGGCAGAGGGCTGGCACCACCCGCGCCCCGCACCTCACACTTGTGGATGATGGAGCCGTAGGCCTTGGACTCTGTGCGGTCCCCATAGGTGCCTGAGCGTAGGCTCCGGGCCTCAGTGCTGAGCTCTTGCCCAGAGTCCGTGCCTGCGGACTCCTCATTCTCCTCCGGGCCCTCTCCGTTCTCCAGCTGCGGCCCCTCTTCCTTAACTGCAGCAGGCCCAGTGCCCTCCTCCTCTCGCTGTTCTTCCCCTTTGCTGGCTGGTTCCACCTCCATTTCTGCAAAGAGGGGAGCAGGCACTGAGGCGCCTGGCCATAACCAGCCTCACCTCTGCACACCTCTTTCTCTGTGTGAGCACCTAGCAGGGGCTCTAGCAGAAGTCTGAGAGTAACAAGCAAACGGTCCCTAGCATTGCCAGGGACGGCACTAGGGGTGGACGTTTTATGACCAGGATAGTTGCTACCTGGGGTTCTCAGTCAACTGGGGATGGGCACTTTCAACAGGCAGCAGCAGCAGGGCACAGCCTGTGCAGTGCCCAGATGGGTGGAAGCAGGGCCTGTCTGCGTTAATGGAAAGCATGGCCAAGATGTACAACCAAGACACAGAGCTCAAGATTTCAGGAGAAAAAAGCTGAAGTGAATGACAGCTCCGAGTAGGATAGGCTGGAGGCAGGAGGAAAGGGAGGTGCAGGTTGTGCTATGCACAAGCAAGCCAGGGCCCTGGCTGAGAGGAGGGCACCTTGCTCTGAACTCTCTGATAAGGCAGCCTCAGCTTCTGCAGCAGCCATGCTGCTGGTGGGGTCTGGCTTGAGCTCCGCAGGCAGGGGCTCCCGGGGGGCATCAGCCTTCTCCGTCTGTTCTGCACCTGGAGGGGGCACCAGAGGCTGGATTGGACCCTTTGTCCAGGGGCCAGCCAGGTCTCTGCTGCAGCTGGAACAGACACCATAGAACAATCCCTGGGTCTGTCTGGGTGATGTGAGCCAGAGAAGTGCAGAAACCCAAGCAACCTACTTCTTTGCCACAGGTCCCTCATTACCCTGGGTCCGAGGTAGCTGGGAGGTAATGGGATAGGCCTGATTTCCTGCTGCCCACCTCCAGGCAGCCCGCAGTACCCAGATCAGAACTCACCACTGGCTGCACTCTCGGCCTGGCCACCCCGCTCCTCTTTGAGCTCCCTGCCTGGGCCTGAGGGTGGACTTCTCGCTTGGTCCAACCTGCTCAGTGTGGTGGCAGCAGCCTTCTCTTTGGCTCTTTTGTCCCCTCCTAGAGACAGAACAGGACATACCTGCCATTTCCCATCAAGTGCCCACCTGGGAAGTGGGGGGTGAGGTGGCTCTGAACTTGCTAACTCTTCTGGGTCCTCTTGTCCTTCCTGGGGATATATCTAAATAGTGGTTTTTTGGTTTGTTCATTGAACATATTGTTTCCAGGGCACTGACTCCATGCTCCCTGCAGCTGGCACTGGGAATGAAGCAGTGGCAGCTCATGCTTCTGTGGGGGCTGTAGACTGGCCAGAAAAACAGACATACCTCACATGCATCAAGGACACTGGCCACAGCAGGTGTCTGAGGGCTTCTGAGGATGTCAGGGGAGAGGAAGGAAGCACACAGAAGACAGCTGTGGCAAGGCTTAGGAGTGAGCCCTGTCTATATTCACCAGCAGTGACCCAGGCATGACTCCCATTTTCTGCTGGCAAGGTGGGAAGGGGAAGGCCGAGGGCCCTTCTCTGGCATGACCATAGCATTCCTGACCATAGTGCCCTACAGCAGAGGTAGGCAGATGAGGGAAGTAACATCCAGGGAGGTGACCCAGAGGCAAGGCCCCATCAAAAGCGAGATTCTCGGGCTGGGGGTGTAGCTCAAGTGGTCGAGTGCCTGCTTAGCAATTGTAAGGCCCTGAGTTCAATCCCTAATACCACACACACACAAAACAAAACAAGGGTTCTCTGGACACCTCTGAGGAACAGCCTGAACTTACCTTCTATGGCCTCTGTGTTTTCCCCAGAGCCATTGGCCGGCTCAGCAAGGGACTTGAGTGCATGGCAGGCTGTCATGATATCCTGCATCTGGAGGAAGCTGGCCACAGCTAACACATCATCCACGTTCTCAGGGCTCAGGCTCAGCTTGGCTGTATACATAAACTCCAGCACCTGCCCCAGGCCTGCCAAGGATAGGACAGCCATCACAGACCCATCTCAAAGGGCCCTTCCATTCAGTGGAGAGATCAAGGGCTCTGGAACACAGTGGTGAGCCTCTACCATCTGCCTCTTGTGCTAGGGGTGAGCAGGCTGGGCCAGCCCAGCACACAGCCTCTAAAAAGGACATCCAGGGGAACAGAGGGTATGAGACTCACCCAGCCCCTGCACTAGACATGGCGTGGAAACATTCACCCTGCACACCCAACACCCAGCCACTACACTTCATCAGCAGCAGACACTCCAACCCACTGTCAGGATTGGCTTCCTCAGGGCTCTGCCATCAACTCCATCTGACCTCGAGGCCAGTTACCTGACCTCCATTGGTGTCAGTTCCTACATCTATACAATAGAACAACAACTTGCCCTGACCTTCTCACAGTATGTCATATCATTCTGGGTTGGGAGCACAAATTCAACCCCCACACCTAACCAGCCCACGCCCTAGCCACCCCATCAGCTCACCCCACACTGCTGGTTAGCCTGGAGTAGCAGCTCCAGAACTGACTCAGCTGCAGGAAAGGGTCAGGGGACCCAGGGCTGGCCCACTCTCTGTCCCTCCTGATGAGGCTTGTCCTATATTAGCTCTGGCCTAGAGTTTACCATGAACTGGCCCTTCCTGCCAGTTCTCTCCTTACCATGCTAATCCTGTCAAAACAGGTACCCCAGAGGTGGTTCAGTGCCTGAGACTTGTGTGGGAGACCTGGTACACCCCATGTCCTGCAGATCCTGCCTTAGGAGGGCCTTGTATGGCACAAAGCCAGCCACAGCTTCAGACTCCACAAGCTCGCTCTGGCCCCGAGGGGGTACCTGCCGCATTACTGATGTCCAGGTGTACCACGTCCTTCTGGTCCACAAAGAGCATCTTGAAGTACTCGCTGCAGGCTGCCAGCACTGCCTTGTGGGCCTTAAAGTCGACACCATCCACCACAAAGGTACAGTCACACAAAAGCCCCAGTTGCCGCTGCTGGTTCAGCTGCTCCAGGACATGTTGGCTATGATGGGGGAAGTCCATGGCTGCATAGAGCCAGAAGTCTCTGTTAGCATGAGACAGTGCATCAGCCAACTCACCTGCCAGCCCAGTCCCTCAGAGACAGGAGGAGTCAGGGAGAACTGAAACAAGTGAGGCATTTCTACCACAGTAAGGGCAGATAACTCCAGATACCCTCGACAAGCCAAGGTAGACCAGATTCCGGTGTTTACAGAACAGGGGAAGTTCCCCAAACCAAAAAGCATGGTGGGACCAACATAAAAACAGTCACCTTTGTATCTTGCCAGGTAATGACATTAAAGAGTCAAATGGCAAACAAACACAAAACAATGATGGCTGTCACTGCAACAAAGAAAAGACATGAGCTTAATTTAAGCCCAACACTGTTTTCAAAAAGAGTATACCCCATGATCTTAGAATAAAGGACAGATGTCCAGTTGGACACACCTAGCTTTAAGAAGTCCCTTCTATTTTGGTTATGTTTTCTCTTTCATGGACAAGTGAAAGGTCTGTTTGGGAAGATGACAAGATGGCTTTTATCACCAGGTATTTCAGAACTCAGTCTCTCTCCCACTGAACCAGTGGGGAGATCCCTGTCCGACCCCCACACCTCCCCCCGGCTCATGGACCCAGAGAACAACATAAAGGTGAGGAGTCCCTATGCCTCCAGAAACCTCTGATCTGGTGGCTTTCCCAGGATATATAAGGAACTCTAATCCTGATCCCAAGAGTTGCTTTTGTCAAGCTCCTCGCTTAATGCCTGGAATCCACAACCATCTCAACTGAGTGTGCACAGACCAAGAACTAAACAAGTATCTAAAAGCCTCCCAGCACCACTGTGGAGTCCATCTCAAGACTGGCAATTCTGTAGGGAAAACAGTGACCTTTCCTTCTAGAAAGAGCCAATTTTGGAATGTTTCAAAATAAAAACCAGTACTGGCTATCTGAGACTACATTGTGTAGATCAGCAGGGGAGGCTATGGTGCCCAATCCAGGAGCTGAACAGTGATGGTGGTCTTCTATCAGCTGCTCCAGACCAGGTTTGGACCTCTTCTCTGAGCCCAGGTCTGCCACACCTGCTCTAGGGCTGCTCTTGGGCAGGGGAGAGGGACACTTTAGGGTGCTCTGCCATGGGTGGCAGCAGCTTTGGCCACTCCTTTTACAGCATCTTCCTGGGGTGAGTCACTGGCCGGCAGCCTGGAACAGCAGTGACCATGTATGGCTGGTCGGCTGGGGTGAGGGGATGGAAGCCACCCCCCCTCATGCCAGCACAGGTCAGCCCTGCTGAACACTGACTACCTCCCAGTGGTGTCTGGAAACTTCTCAAAAGTAGGGAATATGCTCTTGTAATCCCAGCACTTGGGAGGCTGAAGCAAGAAGACTGTGAGTTTAAGGCCAGCTTGGGCTGTACAGCAAGACCTTGTCTCAAAAAAAGAAGTGAGAGTATATACTTACATACTTGCTGAGCTGGGCGAGTCACCCCAGTGGTCACAGGCCACAACCCAGCATTCCAGCCCGAGCCATAAAATGTGAGTCGCTGCTGCTGGAGACCTGGGATACCCTCCCTCCCTCCAACATCTGTTCCCAGGCAGTGGTGCTGCTCTGGTCCCAGCAGCCCCACTCAACAACTCTCACTGGCAACAACCTAAAGGGATGCAAGGGGGTTCTTGCCTATGATGGTTCCAAGTGTCAGATATGGAGAGGAACCCATTCCAGTCCCTGGGGCTCAGGACCTGAAGTGGGTACACACTAGGCAAGGTATAAACAGAACCAAAGGCAGTAGGCAAGGACAAGCCCAGGCCAAACTGACCAGACAGCTGTCTTCTCTCTGTGTGGAAAAGGCACATGGACAGATGGGAGTGTGGGCAGACAAACCCTGGGCTTCAGTCCCCAGTCACCCTTCCCATCTTGGGAGCCCCAACTGAACCATCTCCAAAGTGCAAAACGGAGGAGACACAAGGTAAAAGGTCCACAAAGGGGAAAATCCACAGTCAGCTTCAGAACTTGCAGGTGAGGCCAAAATCCATCCCTTCTGGCAGGAAACCTGTTTCCTGGCCCTTATATGGAGACAACATAAAAACTGAGCTGAGAGGGAGTGACTCCCAGGCTCTGAAGCAGGGCAGAGGATTCCCAGACCCCACTGATGGGGCCTGCTGAGAGCAGGTCCCTCCAGCAGGAAAAGACTTGCCTGGCAGGGAAAGGAAACAGGAAGACCTCAGCCAGCAGGGCAAGGACCTGCAGCTCATCTGGAAGCAAGGGCTGCAATGAGGCCTTGGGCTGTCACCCTGGAGCTCCCACAGGGAAGGACAGAAAGGCCTAGCCAAACTGCCCTCCTGGGGTTGGACACAGCTGAAGGAGGGGCCAAGGTGCCCTGCTTTCAGAGGCTTGAGGATCAGAAGACTAGTAAAGGGCCCTAGGACCAGGTGGATGGTGGCCTGGATCCTCCAACCCTGCTCCACCTCCCTACCAGATTTGCACCTGATGCCACAACACTCTTCTGAGGCAGGACGCTCTCAGAGGCAGCTTCCTTCCCGTATGTGGGGGTAGGGAGGAAACACGAGGTTTCAAATTTCCTCTGGTGCATTCCAACAGAGAAACCCTTACAAGGGCATTCGTTCTAGTAAAGAGAAAGGGGAGAGAGAGGTGAAGGGAAGGAGAAGCAGCAAGGACTAGAAGAGAAGGGAAGGAGAGGAGAGCAAGTAAAAGGAAAGGAGAAAAGAAAAAGCCAGCTCTCTTCCAAGTGCCAGATAAGCAGCAGTTCAAATTTGTGCTCTCAGCACATATGCGAGCAGCCAGGGTTGGGGGAATAGTAAAGGAGCTGAGTGGGCACCAAGTGCTAAATGGTAGTGACCAAGCCGGGTGCTGGTGGTTCACGCCTGTAATCCTAGTTACTCAGGAGGCGCAAATCAAGAGGATCACAGTTCAAAGCCAGCCCAGGCAAATAGTTTGTGAGACCCTATCTTGAAAAACCCATCACAGAAAAGGGCTGGTGGAGTGGCTGAAAGTGTAGGCTCTGAGTTCAAGCCCCAATACCGAAAATAAATAAATAAATGTCACATATGAGAAGGTGAGATGCTGCTAGCCTGGTCTTTCTGGGAGGGGCTAAGCACTACAAGGCAGGGCTCCCCATATCCAAACCTGTGTAAAATGGTCTAGAACGATCATTAGGCTATCTTCTACCAGAAGGCCAAGCTTAGAAGGGCAGAGGAAATGAGGCTGAGCATGGGAACTGAGGGGCCATGAAGAGGGTCACACAGGTAACCAAAGACATCCATCGTCCTTCTCAGAGTGTGTGCATGAAGGGCCATGTGGACTGAGACCATACCACAGAAATAAGATTGACAGCCAACTGATCTTGGTCCTACCATGTCTGTTGGCACCTCTAAATGATGGTTATGAAGATTCTTCCAAGTCGGATGCCATTGGCTCACGCCTATAATAGTTCCTAGCTACTAGGGAGGTAGAGATCAGGAGGATCACAGTTTGAGGCCAGCCTGGGCAAATAGTCTCTCAAAGACAGAGACCTTATCTTGAAAATACCCAACACAAAAAAGGGCTAGTGGAGTGGCTTAAGTGGTAGAGTGCCTGCCTAGCAAGTGTGAGGCCAAGTTCAAATTCTAGTATTGCACAAAGAAAGAAAAAAAAAGGGAAGGGAAGGGGGCAAGGGGGGAAAAAAGAAAAGAAAAGAAAAAGACTGTCTGGCACCAGAGGCTGCTTCCATCAGCATCCTGGAATGAAGGCCCTTCATTCAAACACAAGTGCAGGACCCTTCATCAACTCCATCTTGCTTGATGGGTGATAAATGTGGGTGTTAAAGTTTCTTCTAAAGAGACCCTCAAAACTTCGAACTGTAGAAAATGCAAGCAGGACAAGACTGTGGTCTCATATCAGATGCAGAAAATGAGCCCCAGTGATAACACAGCTCACCTAGGGACCTCTTAACAGTCAAACTGCCCTGAGCTTTGGATGCAAAGTGTGGAATGCAGTTGGGCACCTTCTCTGATGACACCTCCATGGTTCAGTTTTTTCCCTTAATTAAAGGGCTGCAGTTCAGGAGCCAGCATTGGAATGCCCTCCTGATGACCAACAAGGGCTCACAAGGAATACTTTGGGAATAAAAGAGAGGTACCTCTTGAGGGATATCTGCAGTGTGTCTCCAAACAGGTACAGTGGACACTGGTGGCTCAATCCTGGGCTCTTAGGAAGGTACCCACAGTCCCTCCCATCAAATCTGGATTGGCTAATGACAACTCTAGCCAACAAGATTCAGTGACCGTGCCAGGCTCAGGCCTAGACCTTAATGAGTCGAAAAAATCTGGTGCCCCAGGCTCCAGCCACCAAGCCATAGGGACGTCCAGGCCTCTCTTGACTGGGAAACACAGGGACAGGCACTGGAGGAGCAAGGCCACATGACATCCCAGGGCTATGGGATGAGAGTCACTTTCTTGAACTTCCCAACTGCCAGCTGAAATCTGTCACATGAATGATCTCAACCAACACCCTGGAGAGCAACTCAGAGTTGTGAGAAACAGAAACTGATGATGGCTGAAGCCATTAACTTTGGGTTCCTTAACTATGCAGCAAGGACAACTGAAGAATAAACAACAAAGAAAAGGGACCCATTACGGTCAGACATGGTGGTGCATTCTATAATCCCAGCTACTCATGAAGTAGACATCAGGAGGATAGATATTTAAAAGCCTGGCCAAAAAGTTTAGGGAGACTCCATCTCACTCAATAAGCTAGGCATGATGACAGGAGGAATAGATAAAAGGATCACAGTCTGAGGCCAGCCTTTGGCAAAAAAGCAAGACCCTACCTGAAAAAGAACTGAGGGAAAAAAAAAAAGAGAGAGAGACAGCGCGAGAGCGTGCACTGGAGGCATGGCTCAAGTGGTAGAGCATCTGCCTAGTAAGAGCAAGGCCCTGAGTTCAAACCTGTGTACCACCAAAATAAAGAAAAGAAAGGGAATGATTAACCAGAAATCACAGAGTGGCCCTCTCTGGGTAAGGAAAGGGTGCCAGGACTCTACTGAGATGCTGGGCA